TCTGCACCCCTTGTGTTTTGTACATTTTGACTTGGAAATGTGCTTCGTGCTACAACGGCGTGCAATTTTTCATCTCTCCTCTGGCCAGCTGGCTCCGCACCCGCCGCTTTAGCGAGCCTACTTTTCGACCCTCCGGAGCCCCAAATCATTGGAAAAACGCAGTGAATCGCGATTTTCCTACCTTTTCGCGCATCTCCATCTTCTTTCGAATATACTGGCTGGTGGTTTGAACCATCTTGAAAAATATGAAAGTCAATGGGAAGGATTATCCCATACTATGGAAACTAAACATGTTCCAAACCACCAACCAGTATAAATATTGAACACAGAATGAACATGAATGAAATCTGGGGTTCCCTGGGTCAACAAAATTTGACCCATACAATATGTTCCCTAAAATGAATACGGTTTATAGTCGCTGCATTTGATCCTCTGAAGCTTCATTGAATCCTAGTTTCTTCGAAGAACCGAAGAAGCACACCATAAATTATATGACCCATAAGACCTAGCATGCACTTACTAGTTATTAAACAGTATTCCATTTATAGATTTCCCAAATTGTGGATGTTCCATTGGGAAAATTCGACATCGCATTAAACAAATTTAGCATTCACAATCTATCATTTGGATTGAAAACTCCTAGTCCTTGTCTCACAGTTTAATAGGGAATATGGATACCCATAGCTCCTTAGCTCCCTAACCACTGTATAGCCGTTCCTTGAAACCAAGGGACAAGCCCACGAAGCCATGGTCCGGGAAGAAGTGCTGCATGCTGCCTGACAGTCAACAGATTTCACATTGCCAAACCTACCTATGTTGCATCATAGCATCCTCCCCGCAGTTGTAGAAACTTGGAAACCTAGAAACTATCGAGGACACATGATACATTTTACATGAACAAAAAAACCTGGCATCATTTTGGGGAACCCGAGAGTGCAGTCATCAAACCAAAGAGAGTCTCCAAGGAGTTATTTTTGCGTCAGTGGATGATGGTACTAATTCACATAAATCTATGTAAATGAAACACACATGCAGCATATATCTCCATATTATAATATATTTTCATATTATAAATTCAGCATGAATTCATACACAATTCCATTTATCATATGAATGAGCAATGAATCCATGAAAACCACCAATGAATCCATCGCCATCGCCGCGTCGCCTTGCGGGTACTGATTGGATGAACCACGGGCCGAGGCCCCACCAGCACCGCTGATGACGTAGGACATGCCTTCCCAGTAGATGACCTGCTTACCTGCAGTGGTAGTTGGTGAACATAACTAGGAGAATTCTATGATTTATGGTATGGATACAGTCTATGCAGCTGTAAAACTAACTTAGAACTTAGAACTGGGGATGGCACCATCTTGTAGAGTTTATGGTTGATTATACGGGTCTAACTACATAAGCAAATCAAGAAATCACTGGTAAATGGGAGGTGTGAGAGATTGTATGAATCTATTTTCCGTAAGACAGGGATCTAAACGGGACATGCCAAGCACATTATGTCATGTGAAATCATGTGAATGAAGACCCGGCAAAACTGCAACTAAATGCATAGCTTGACCTAGGAGACCATCAGATCTTTCGGATCAGTGTCTTTAGTTAGAAAATTGCCAGCCGTTGACTATAAAGGACATGGTCCCCGTATCGGCTTTCACTTGATAGTTGTTACTGAATTAAAACTGTTGACAAATGGATACCCATTCCCTCTCCTGGATTAACGACTTATTGCTCTATCCATGATTGATCGCTTCTATGTTTAATCTCAACCATTGGTTGTTCCAGGCTTTGATTCCTCGAACCAACGGATTCACAACCAAGCTTCTTATGCTTGATATTCCACGTTTTCCATCAGGTTGTACATCTGTATATATATATATACATTATATACAGTACCTATACCATGTTGATCCATGTTGTTTCCCACTTTTCTTTAAGACATCATCGCTTCGTCGGCCGAAACAACAAACATCTCAGATTGTGGATACACCACCAGCAATAGGATAAACTATACCAATTTCATCCAACCTCCCCAACACATGGGGTAGTAGATTTTCACAGTGTCATTTCGGGTTTCCATGGCATTTATACACCTTAATGCGACAATTTTCCAAGGCGAAGATCCATTCCATACAAAATGCCTTAATTACACATAACATGGGTCTCATAATAATGGCTATATATATATATAGTCTACATTGTACAAACCATTTTCTAACTGTGATTCTCATGGTTTAGTCATGCAGTATAGTATACCATATCATTCCACAATGTAAAGATACAACATTAGATCATAGCATATTCTACCATAGTTTCATAGTTTTCATGCTTTTAAGATGTTTAACTGGCTGTTGTTTATGGGGAATTCCCGGTTCTCGATTTATTTTCCCATTTGGCGCTTCGCCCAAGTGCTGTGGTCATGACCGGCGAAGTAGACCGGGACGCCAAGTTCCCGCAACTTGGGATCCAACTCGCCTCGCGTCGCGTCGCGGCTGCGGGGTCCGACCCTCTGACGTCCGAAATCCATGGGAAAATGGTGAGTCGCAACGATATTGGGGAACAACACATGGGATTGATGGCTGGATTCATGCTAATTTTGGGTTTTATCATGTAAACAATCTATAACTCTAATTTCACGATTGGGTTTGTGATTGGATAAAAATGGAGACTTGGCCATTTGTTTGGTAAGTTCCCAAATGTGGGGCCCGCGAAGTGATATTCGTATATATTTGTTGTATTTGTTGGTTTATAAACTCCAAAGAATAAGAATGATTGCCATACATTTTTCACCATTTTTCACTCATGGCCGAAAATGGGTAAAGCACAACCACAGGATCACAGGGAAGATCTCAACAAAGATCCCAGACGCCATTTATCGGTCCATGGCAGCAAAGAAGTCTGATGATCTATGGATGGGTCAAAATGTATATGTATGTTAATCAATTTTTGGGGATGAACATCATAAACCCAAGCTATTCGATCTGAAATCTGAACAAAACCAGGGCACCACAGCTATCTAAGAAGGTGGATATTAATATAACCAGTAGATTTGGATCTATCCAATCAGCACGTGTGGATCGAATCATGATGACTTGGTGGCTTCTGTGAAAAAGGATCATCACATTGGTGGTGGCACAGGGATATCTGGGTAAGAATTCATTGCGTGGACATTTCAAACGGACAATCAATACATGAACTAGGTCTCCCCCAGTTATGTTTCTTGGTTTATACACCCATGAAAATCTGATTGTGAAGCCAGTTGTAAATCAGGCTCAAGCCACAGCAAAGTGGAAAAATGACCAGCTAGGTAGGAAGAGTGATGAACACAGGTGGGATGACCATGCATACTTCAGGACAAAACGAGCCAGGTTTCTTGGCGCAAACGGCACTTAACTGTTTTTCCCCAAACTCCTGAGCCTTCAGTGAATTGGACATGATAAAGCCATCAGTCGTAGATCATTCCGGATCATTCTCTTCGGATCATATTCTTTGTACTGGAAGGCAATGGAGCAAGGTGGGACACATGTAGGACGTGTAAGATGATTCCAAGCCTCCATTGAAGGGATTAAATACGCAAAAAAACTGCCTTTGCCTCCCTGAAATGGCACAGAACGCATATACACAAAAACACACAAAACAAGAGTCCGGTGTGTGTGTGTATTGTAGCAATAATACTGTATGTAATACTGTGCAGTTTGTACTGTACAATGATCATAATCCGCGAACTTGAGTTCTTGGGCCACTATTGTTAGTCACCATGGTGATCAAAACAATGTCTGCAGAATTAGCACAGAGTTAGCGCAAGCAAAACGATTCTTTATCAGGTTAAAAACAAAACACTGGTCTGTTGGTCTGTTGATACTATCTTCTTTGCGCATGGTTGGTACCTATCTCCACTATAGCACAAGAGTAGAGTCATAAAGCAGCTATCCAGTTGGATGACCCAGTTGGTGGGACCCATTCATTTCCATTACTGAAATCCTTAAATCCCCCAACCATTGTCGGCATTGTCGCTTCATGCCCCCATCAGATTAAACATTCTATTCCTTCACCACACCCATGTGTAAACATTTATATAGTGCTTGAGATTAAACATGGATATAGAAACACGGTTATATAAACATATTATATTATATAAACATTGATTAAGCCATCCATGATTCAACATATTCCGTCCAACCCGGACGCTGCTCCACACTTACAATCATCATCGTCATCATCATCATCATCATCACCACCAGTGTCAACTCATGTGGAATGGGGCAATACCATCAACTTATATGTCTTATATTCATAAGCGATCATCAATCCGCCACCCCCTATGACAAATATGTTGAACTTATCTTCATAGGAGATCAACAAATCCGCCACCTCCTCTGACAAAGATGTTGAATAAGGAATAACATCAACTTATCTTCGTAATTCATAGGGGGATCAACAAATCCACTACCCCCGTTGACAGATATGCTGAATCTGATCATAGCATCAACATATCTTCAGAGGGATCAACAAATCCTCCACCCCCTCTGACAAATACGTTCAATGGGGTAATCACATCAATTCATCTTCATAAGGGATCCAAAAATCCTCCACCTCCTGTGGCAAATATGCTGAATCTGATCGTAGCATCAACTTATCTTCGTAAGGGGTGATGATGATGATGACGACGACGACGACAACGACGACGATGATGACGATGACGGTGACGAGAACGATGACGATGATGGTGATGACGATGATGATGGCGATAATGATGATCATGGATCACATATACATCTACATATTGAAAGACCACCGACAACGAAACCCTTCCGCAACTCCGGCGCGGAGCAACGTCAGGGTTGCACCGAACATATTAAACAACGCTAAAACATGTTGAAACCACCATGTTTGGTGCTGACATCCTCGCCCATCATTGTACCCAGCCAGCCGGCGTCCGAGTGACGCAGCAAGACTTCGGTCACACCGTGCATACCTAAGCGACGTTGGAATGGAAGCCAAACGTCGAAATAAGGTGCGCAAGTGTACAATGGTGGGGCAGGCACCATGAAAAACCAGAGGAAAAATGGTGATTTAACCTATTTATGATAGCTAAGTTGGTGAACATAACTTCAATAACTTTGGTCTATGATACTTATACTGTAACTATCGTATTCATGCAGTGAAACTAAACCAACGTTCACATCACTGGACGGGGGGAACCACATTGTAGCATTAAGAGTATGACATGTAGTCTGAATTCTGAAATCTCTTCAGACATTCTGACATATATAGATCCTGGGACATGTGCTCTGGCAAATTTCATTCATGATTGCTCGATAAAACTTGAAAATAGGTACTTACCCCAAATTTTAAAAAACATGTATGTGTATACATATGTGTGTATATATATACATATTCATTTAAAGCAATAGATTAGCTTGTATAAAATACCCATCCGGCTGCTTTCATAGGTTAAATCCCCAGTGTACCACAGTAATCTCCATACTATATCCCCCTTCTGCGCATTGATTCTATCTTTTACTCATCAATCATCATTTTCCCTCTTAAACCAAGCATTTTGGACTTGACATAGCCATATTTTGCCCATCTTCACCAGGGCGATCCCATTCCCAGGCGCATCGCATCCCATTCGGCCTGCGGAGTAGATCGTATGATGTCCCAAGACCACCCGCCAGTCCGCTTGGGAATTCGCCAACTCACGGAAGAGCCACTGCTTTTGCTCCTCGCCTCGGAGCTGTCGAAATCCGGAGATGTTTTTTGTGAAAAAATCGATATGACATGAATAGTTCAATTATTTCACACGATTCTTCGTATGAGTATATATATATAATATATTTGCTTATTTATTAGATGGTTATATGTATTCATGATGATAATATGTTTACAGTATATGGATTCCATACACACACAATTGACCTTTCAAGGCCTCACCCTTAGACGATGCAGAAAAAATCGATCCGTCCACACGGCGGTGTGATATTTCCAGGCAGCCAAAGCCATGGTTCTGAACACAATTCGTTGATCCTTAAGAGATGAGAATCAATAGTTCATGATAAATCATCTATTATTCATATAGTTGTGAATACATCATGTACAGTGTATATAATATATATATATAATATATATTATATCCGTTTGTACTATATATATATATAAATACACTATATGTATACAGTAGTTATGCCCTATGAATGTCTTTGGGGAATGCTTTGGGAGGCCGCCTGCACCTTGTTTGGATTTGTTTGAATCCAAAGGGATAGTTTGTCATGGTGGATCCCCAAGTCACCATGGGTTTCAATAGTAAACTGGTCTAATGATTCTAATGACTTGGATGATTTGGGGTACCCCCCATGACTTTAGAAACCGCCAGATGATTTTCCTATCAACAATGGTGATTCTCCAGAACCATGTCACACTACACATGGATCTATAGTACATTTTTATGGGTAAACCAACATTAAAACCAGGGGGCACAGCTGGCACAAATGTGGGGATGGCTGGTCCTGAACTCCGTGGGCTCCAGTTGTTGGTGATTTGGGGACCAGCATATTTTTAGTAATCTGTGAGATTAATGGTGCATAGATGTATATATCTAGGTAAAAAAATAATACACCACCATCCCCCAAATCACCAGAAATGGGTGGTATAAACCATTCCTGGGAATTGGTGGTTTATCATTGTTTTACCCACATTATATGATATATGTGTGGTGGTTTGATAGGTTCATAAACCAACTCATAACTGGGGGCCACCTCGCGTGGTGTGGAATCTGTTGTTTAGCTGCCCGTGTCTTCAGCATTGGCAACTTCTCTGTCCTCTTAAATTGAGGATGGCTCAACCTATAATTATAAACATGCCAGCAAAAAAACAATTTTTGGGCAAGTTTGATATCAGAATGATTCAACATGTTTAAAATAGCATCAAACAATATCAACCATCTTTGGTTGCGTTTTGTAAGTAAATTATCTCCATATATGACCATATATGGATATGGGTCAAACTGGAGTAGCCCTAAGATCTTGGGTCACCTGGGTGCAACCCGACTGTGGACCCCGACGTGCTTGGGGACCCAGGTGTTTCTCGGTCAGAGTGCCCCCCTTCCATACCTGGAACGTTAGGGGGCGATGGCGACCTGTAGATTTTGGGACTGTATTACATATCAATATATATAGATATATAGTATATAGTTAGTGTGTGTGTGTATATATAAATATATAGTGTGTATGTATATATATATATTAAAATCTATGTATACTGTATATAGTATAAAAAAAATAGAGTATATATATATAGTAATAAATAGAGTATATATATATAAACAGTATATATATATAGTATATCTAAATATATTATACATACAGTATATATATGGTATACATACAGTATATATATGTATATAAACAGTATATATATACATAGCATATATATATATAGTGTATATATAGTGTATATATTAAGTGTATATATTTAGTATATATATATACATAGCATATATATAGTGTATATATAGTGTATATATTAAGTGTATATATTTAGTATATATAGAGTATATATATATATTTATATAGAATATATATATATATAGTACTTATATAGTATATATATATTTACTATATATATAGTATTTATAGTGTATATATAGTGTATATATATACAGTATATATATAGTATATATATAGTGTATATATAAATAGAGTCTATATATAGAGTATATATAAATATTTATATATAGTATACATATATAGTATATATATATATATATGGTATAGATATAGTAAAAAAAGAGTGTATATATATAATATACATAAATAGTATATATATATATAGTGTGTATATTATATATAGTATATATATAGTGTATATATATATAGATCCCCCTTCGAATTTCAGGGGAGACGTTGTGACCCTGATTCTGTAGGATTCTGTAGGTTACAAAAAAAATATTTACAAGCCCAGGGCTGGCTATAGAGAATGAGGTTGCTGAGCTCCACTTTTTCCGAAAATTGCCTTACCTACAAAACGCCCATTCATTTCAACAACCTTGACATAGGAGGATGTTTATTTTTCCCTTGCTACAAAATACCCCTTCGTTTTCAATAATTGCACATACTAGGACATACCATTTGCTACAAAATGCCCATGTCGTTTTCAACAATTGCATGCCAAGGAACACCTTGCAACTTGCTACAAAATGCCAAGTTGGTTTCAACAAGACTTGCATCCATGTCGTGCTACAAAATGCCACTGTGTTTTTATGATGACCTAACATGATTGACATGTGTTCTTTTCAAAATGAGATTCACAAGTTTAATCTACCAAAATCTTGAACATTGTTGAACATGGATTCTATGTCACTGTTGGCCTGACTAAAACGGAGGGCTTTATAAGAGGCACAAGGCCTTCCATCTTGTAGCTTAAACTCGAAGGGGGATACATATAGTATATATATGGTATATATGTGAACTATAAACACATAAAGTATATATAAAGCATATATATATAGTATATATATATATATACATATTATAGTAAATATATGTATATATATAGTACATATATATATATATGGTGTATATATATTATATAATATATATGGTGTATATATATATATATTATAAATATTGTGTATATATATAGTTTATATAGTATGTATATAGTGTATATATATAGTAAATATATAGTGTATATATAGTATATATATATAGTATATATATAAATTATATAAATGTATGTATGTATATATATATATATATACATACACTGTATATATATATATATACAAAAATCATGCATAATACATGTATATAAATATGTATATATATATAATATGTGAGTAACGGCCAACAAACTGTTTGGAGTTGACCATTTGCTTAGTCTATGGAATGATTTCAAAATGAAGAATCAGATTCACTTTGGGTGATGGACATTGTTGACCCACAATGGAGCACTACTGCGCAGATATTCGTAATTTGTTGAATTCGACCAAAGAGTAAAATCGTGGCTGAATCAAAGTCCTCAAACGAGTGTTTCAAAACATTGAGGTCCCCAAAACCATTGGCTTTCCCTTCAACAATTACTACTTATAAAACCTTATAAAGTAATTACATAATTTGGAATCATGTTGGGTTCCACAAGTACAAGAAATCGCTAAATGACCACATAGGAAACCATGACCTTCAGCTGCAAGAGTCAAATCGGACAACGTATATCATATCATCAGCAGTCGAACCAAGGGTTGATCCCTTTTACCCAGGCTGCACGCACATAAAAACCCGCAGTGGTTTCTGTGACGTCTTAGTTTTGGATTTCTGATGTTTAGTTGAGTTGAATGTTCCGCAGGCATCTGGATGTTGTTTTTTCATGGTTTTCCCAAATGTTTTTGACATCTAGGATATCTTGGCTGAATCATGGAACGACACATCGATAATTTGAACCATTGGAAAAGGCTTTTTGAGATTCATGTTGAACAGACTTTTGACTGATTGCACGAATGTAACATTGACAAAGTTGAAGATCGAATGCCTCGCACATGTCTCGGATGCGGCCAAGTGGGACATCGCTTGGAAAGCTGCAGTTCCAAGGCCGCCGTGGAGATTAAAAGATTGAGATCGAAGTTAGAGAAGACCAGACACAAAGCATATACACAGGTGGATATATTCTTATGTGCAAAACTGTAGCATGACGAGAAGATCCCACAGCGTAGCATGACATATTTTCAAGTTGACATTAACGTTACTACCCCCACCCCACCCCACCCCACCCCACCCCCAAATGCACACCATACAATCCATGTGTGTTCAAGTTGACATGAACGTTTTTACCCCCACCCCACCCCACCCCACCCCAACCACACCCCAAATGACCCATATGCATATTCTAGTGCTATGCACACCATACAAACCATGTGTGTTCAAGTTGACATGAACGTTATTACCCCCACCCCACCCCAAATGACCCATATGCATATTCTATTGCGGGTTTCTACATGCGTGCATGGTTTTTACTCATGGCCAACCTTAGAGACAATGCAACAAAAGGATGGTGGGGATATAAAACCCATCGACTAATCCATCAAAATGCTTCAACAACTAAATCATCAATTCCACAAGACCAGACATTAAGGTTTATCTGATCTATTCCCTGGTACCCCATGGAAAAAACATGAAACACCTTGATTGTTTTTCCACCCAAGACGCCATGGTGTCAATGTAGAAGGCATCCACAGAGAGGCCAGGCACTGAGTAGGTCTTCCTTTTTGGTCGCTGAACATAGCTGGACCATGGAGACGTGACCCGTGAGTTGGAGGGCTTAAACATTAATGTGGGTCAAACAATAATAATAAACCACCCATTGGGGAATGGTTTATACTACCTATTTATATCTACTTATGGTGATTTGGGGGTTTGGGTGATGGTTTATGGCATTGTTTTACCCACATTACTTGGTTTATTTGGGATGTTTTGGCTACTGTGTTGTGGATTTATCAGGAATCCTGCACCAGTTGGTAGATAGCTTCTCCACATCATTAGTCAAGTGGTTTAGTGGTTTGTGAACCCCCGTAAAGCCAAAATGCACTATGGACTCCTCCATTGAAAATGAGTTGGTTCACAGACTCCCCCGGAATTGTTGGTGCAGATCTAGCACTCCCAAGTCGGGAAAGTGACTGCAGCAAAGCATCTTGTACCAAAAGTGGGGCAGCTGCCAATAGCCACCTGACTTGGTCAGGATCCCAACCATACTGCACCCAGCATGGTGGATGTAGGGGATGAATATTACATATTTAAGGGACCATTAAATGATGGTGTTTAAATATCAGGGGGATGATTAAACAGAATCTCTGACGCCACCACTATGTATCAAGTGGGTTATATGGGACGATCATTATCAAAATGGATGGTCTGGGCAGAAGGAAAAACAATCACAAAACGACTGTTCCTCTGTGGTCTTCGCACTTTTTCTTCAATGGTCAAGAACGAAATCCTCCCTGCCCTGCTTTGTTTTGTCGTCACTTTCAAGCGGATGACACTGTTCTGGGATCTGAGGGATACTGAGCGACAATCCATCTCTATGGGTGCGAATTGTCATTCAGGGGTATGCTCAATGCTGGGGACACCGTATTGCATAAATCCGTGATTTTTTCATTTTTTGACTAAACAAAATCCATTTCATGTTATTTCAAGCAAACCCATTAATGTTCAACCCTGTTCTTCATTTCAGGACACATTCATGGCATTCAATCCACACTAGAAGAGGAAACATCCCTGCATGCCGAGTTTATCCCCCGCGGAGAGTCTTGCGAAACAAAACAGTGATAGTGATGGTAGTCTCATTTGAACATCACCCCCATGAGAGGAATCAGCAAAACACAACAACCATCTTAGGATTCTTAGGATGATCCTCGAAATCCATGGACATCCCACAAGTAGACCATTCTTTCTACAAGAAACACCACCCCTTTGAACAAAATCCTGTCCATTACCATTTTTATACAGACCTTGTGAAGAGTTTGATCCTCTGACCCTCTGGAAAACAACATATCATTGGCGGGGTTACTGGAGACTACCGGACCTATCCAAGCCAAACTTTTTAGCAATGAAACACCATTTGTCGCAACCTACGAAGAACAAGACATATCGTAACACCTCAAAACGACAAAACACATGTCATCATATTTACCCAACAAGCCAAAGTATCGTTAATATCATATATATATATGTATAATTATATTATATATACACATATGTGTGAATATAAACTATGGAAGTTTCCAAAGTCATGGGGGTACCCCCAAATCATCCAATTTAGACCAAGACTTAGTGTTGAAACAACCATGGTGACAACTCCAAAATCCCCTCGCCTGAGTTCTTGTTGGCCTCAGAATCCGTGTAAGCGCGCTCCACTAAAGCATCGGTCCACCAGTCGTGGTTTCCTGCCATATCCACGCCAGAAAGAAAAGATGCTACAGTAGATGTGCATAAATGAAGACATTAGATAGATAAATAATGATAAATACATTACATTGATTGATATTAAATTAATTGATGATAATCAATGAATGCACAATTAAACACGTTATATCTTCAATGCAATCATGTAAAACCAATGCAAACTTATATAGGAGTAAAGACACAAACGAGTTGTTGATGTTTCCCATCTCCAACACTACTCATCATTAGGACACACATCCCTGTCATTCGCCTTCAACTTGGTCCAAACAATAAGTTTAAGATCCGGCATAAAGAAATGACAGCCATGGTTCCAAAGTGACCCCATTGGTCCAAGTCAAGTTTGTTCACATGTTCACCAGTCTTGGCGTCTTTATGGATCATCCCAGCTACGGCCCATTGCAGCCAAAACATCATAAAGAAACACAAATCATTAAAAGTAACTTTGGTGTTATTTTAAAAGACAACCATCCATCTCCCCAAACCCTATGAACGGTAGAACTTGTCATAAAATTATAGGATATACATGGATATATGACCCTGACCCAATGGGCTAGCAGTGTACCAGGAATCTCCGATTTGCTCTGACCACAACCGAAGACGGTCCTGTGATCACATGCCAGGGGCGACGCAGGCTTTCGAAGCCCAGATAGACCTGCCAGCGACCTTATGTTTGTTATATCAGTGGGAATAAGATAAGGTGACCAGGAAAACACATTTAAAAACACATAAAAAAAAACAATGTTGAGGTTGCTTTAAGCATGTTCTCGAACATGTTGAGCAATTTGACGACGACGATGATGATGACAACAGTAGTAATGATGATAGTAACAATGACAATAGTAATAATGGTCATATCAATCATAATGATGGGAATACTGATGATAGTAATAATAGTGATAATAATACTGATTATAGTAAATAGTAATGATGATAGTAATACTGGTGATGGTATTAATGATGATAACTAATGACTATGGACAATCACTATTGTGATTTCAAAAAAAAACAAAACATCGAAAACCTACAGCACTTGAAATAACCAACAACAAATGCATTGCGGCTGTTCAGAAGTAGGAGTCGCCACAGAAATTGCGTTGCACAACAAAACCTGGGGATTGCAGCCAACAGAAATCTGATTGATGGTTGAACCAAACTGGGAGATTTCATTGCCGATTCGGCCACAAGCTGTTGTTGGTGACAATTACCAAGTATGGAATCTCATCAACCCACCTGCTCCTACTTGTGTGTTGCTTTTCTTTCTGAAACTTCATATGGAACCAGTCTTGATCGACGTTCGACCCCAACCCTGGGATTTAAATCTTATCTGCTAAATTCAGTTTAGCAACCACCAAAGGGTGCCTTATGTACAGCCGAAAATTCAAAATAGTTATGCAAAGTACCGATTGTTTGCTGGTGGCACAACCTCACCATATAGATCCAAAAAGGATGGATGGAATTCATCCCCAACCGTCCATTGATGTATAAATTGCTTTCGTTTATCGAACATGATGGCTAACACCCTGGTTTCTTTGCTCTGCACTGAGTGCTCATTCAAAATCGGATTGATGAAAGCCTTTAAAACCCCATTCCTGTCAGGTTGATTTCAATACATATTACATCTGAACAAGCCACAGTTCTTCCTAAATTATGGTTCCTAAGAGCAAAATTACACATTTACCCCTCTTCTAGTAGGATTTTAAGTCTTGTTTTCCTGTCTTTTTCCGAGTCTTGTAATATGATTTTGCGATGATTCCCATGACTTTGACATTGGTTCTGCTATCTTTTCTTGGGAGTTGCTATATATTTCCCAGATATTTTTCCATATGTTCCCAAATGTTAAGCCTTGATAAGCCATGGTAAATTCTTGGGGTGATTCTCCATCGAGAAACGGCCGCGCGCGTCATGGCCGCAGCGCCTGACCCCACCAGCGTGTAATGGTCCCCGGGTCGTAGGCTGCACCGTCCGGGTACACATTGTCACCTCGTCGGAATTCATGAGGCCAATGAGATTAACCATGGGTATAACATGAGGGTTTTGAGTGTTTAACCATGGAAAAATAGTGATTTAACCACTGAACAATGGATTTGGGTAGAATTTACGGGAACAATGTGGGAACATATATGGGAAATCCACGGGTATAACTCTATTAGCAATAAAACAAATAAGGGTTGAAGCATGGAAAAGGAGGGATTCAACATGATTTAACAACTGAATGATGGATGTGGATGCCCCAGTCTCTTTGCCGAGTTGTTTTTTGACTGGATTAACAATGGATTATGATGTATATATCATGATAATCATGATATCTACAGATAATGGGGTTTACAAACCACCCGAAACAAAAGTTTGATTTATCAAAACTTGAGAATCCAAGCAATTAAACAACAGATACCAAAAGGATACAGGAACAAAAACTATAAATTCTCCACAAGAAGCCCCTCCGTAAAATAAATGGATATGCTTGCAAACTGCGTTTTGTCATGTGGGGAAAATTAAGAGGCGAAGTTTAACGATCACTAAGTTGGACTCACATTGTGATGTTAACCGAAGCTGCCGAGGGATCCACCGAAAAAATGAGGTAAATCCAAGGTCACAATCTAGGAACTCGCGGCCACACACTGGATGAAACAAGGACCTATTCTGGAATGGTGTGGGATGCTGATAACCGACCATTATTTTAGTGTGTACACTTTTCACTCACTTGCAGTTCCTATTTCACCAGCCATCACAACAAATTCTAGCAACAATGATTGTCATTTATGATAATGATTTATCCAGTCATCGAGTCAATGATAAAATCACAAACCGTTCTAACAGTTTACAAAAACTATTAGAACAATAGTTATCAATATTGTATACTATTATCCCACCTGAATGTAAATTCATAGTTTAGATTGTATTGTATTGTACATTCAGGTGGGATACGCGGATACACATTCAATATTAATGATTGCACATCACCACCAGGCGCCATCGCTTCCAGTGCTACTCACGTTTTGTATTGTTACATATTAAGGATACGACCACACTATGAATTCGTGTCCGGATCTCTTTGGAAGTCTTCAGACTTCAAACATCAACTGATATTAGCTTTATACAACCTAATAACTTTATATATAATAAACATAAACAATCCTAAATAACCAATGCAATGTATGTATGTATGTATATATATGTATAATTTTGTATGTGTATGTATGTGTATATATATATATTCATGGACTGATCTTACTCAACTATATCATCTGGTTATGTCCTTCATTATTGGTACCATCTACTTATTTAATGGAAACATAATCGTAAATCATCCATAAGTGGGTTAGTTTGATCAATTTTCCATAGCAAACTGTTGAATAACCAAAGGGTAACTCCTGTAACATGCCATGAAACCTCGTCAAAACCCTATTGGTTCATGTTAGTTCTTGTTTGGTTGATGTTGGCTAATTGTTTGGTCATATCCTTCCACTGTGTGAAAACCTGGAATACATAACTATCACCATCATACGTATTAATAACCAAATCGCACTAATGGTTTCGTAATTACAATGTCAGATATTATTGTAGTTTATTGAGGTTATAACCATGAGGAGCTAATCATATGTTCACCCCACTGAATGGTTGATGTTATACCCTCATTTTTCCAAGATTATCCCAAGTATTGATTCATAATTGCATAACTGGTTAGTTGATTGAATTAAAGTGATCTTAGATAGTTGGTGTCATATCCCCAGTTATTCCAATTATTGATTATTAGTTTCTTACCTATCATAACTGAGAGCAACAAACTATAATGACTTACTGTAATGTTTAACCTAGTCACAACTAGCTGGTCGTTAATTATCGTTTTGGTGTTCATGATCCAAATTTAACTTTCATAACTATCACCATTATCGCTGCACAAGTACTTAATTGTCATGCGTACATATATATATATGTCCGTAAAACTCATTATATTCAAGGATATTTATATTTAGTGAATCATATGGATATACATCCTTACTCATTATATCTCATGGTATATGTACCACCAAAATGCCAGTTAGAAACCAGATTGTAACCATAATATACAATAATTATACATTCTCATTCTATACCAGTTACATTTCTTGATATTAATACCAGTTATCATTCTTGTAACGCTAGTAATCAATAGTACCAGTTTGTTTTCTTTATCTAAATATAGTTGTATATATATAACAATATAATCTTGGTAATATATAGATATATTGATAATTATCTCATTTACTATTTCTATATATAAAACAATATAGATGTATGATAGTTATATATATATATGATAATCAATCACACTATCATACTAGTGTTAATGAACAACCATAAGAGAGGAATATTAGTGTTAACGAACATAATATATTAGTTTTATTAGCAAATATGACATGACATCAGGGATAATATTACTATCATTACTCATTGAGCAATAATTACTATTGTTTCTCATGATAGTAATGAGATCTCAGTAATAATTAACAACTGTTATAACATTAGTAAGTCAATTGATAATTATATATCAACATAAAAATTAGTGTGACAACCCATAGTTTTACTCCCAATGATGTTAGTTTAGTAAATATTCGAAGGTGGTACCCCATACTTAGCTAGGTTGCTTTGTAACTTCCAATGTCACTATGGTTTATGGTAGATATATCACTTACTATGGTTTATAAACCAACAGATAAAAAAGGTAATATAGTAAGTGTGGTAGATGTATCTATACTTACTATGGTTTATATCTATATACTACCCTCTGGTAATTTAACATAACTATGGAACATCACCATTTTTCATGGGAAAATTCAGTATAAATGGTGATTTTCAATAGCTATGTTAAATTACCAGAGGGTATATCTATTCACTGGGGGGGCACCACCTTGTTTCATGGCCCAGGCACCAATGGCCGCCACCGCCTGTGGCGCTTTTTCTCCAGCCAACCTCGCCAGGCTGTTGGCCACGGCGGCCTCCGTCCCCGTTGAGGACACAAAAGGGGAGCTTCCGGCTGGGGATATGAACCCAAAATGTGGGGAAAAACGTGGTTTAAGCACCAAAGAAAGGGTGATACACTTGAGAAATGATGAGTAAATGATGGTTGAGATTGTTGATTCCGGTTGATTTTCAAGGGGATTTCTACTATTTATTCATTGTGGGAAATCCTTTCAACCGGTATACAGGGATGCCAGAAGGTTTATGAACACTGCTCATATGACTATTATCGTTACAATCACTCTAAGTAATTTCCCGCCATTGTTGGTTTCTTTAATGGATTTTGGGAATAATTGAAGGACACTTAAATACATACATGGAAGAATGATTTGGGAATCATGTTCTACACTTTTCTGACAAACACCATGATGGAAATTGGGTTTTATGACTTAGTTGTACCCAGTTAGTAACCCCGGATGCTCTATGGTGCTGGAATATTTATGAGCAATTACCCAAAAAAGAAACCAGTTCTGCAGGCAAATGTGCCAGCACCATGGAGATCCATGGAGCATATAATAGGTCGGCAAGATGAGCTGAAATAACAGTTGTTTAACTGTCACATGATCATATGTTCATCTATGTAAGTTACTTTACATCATGCATGACTTCTGTTTGGTTTAAGTGAACACGGAAAGTTGCTTGTCAACTGTATTTTTACATGCATGTCAGCATTCATTGCTTAGCATCCCAATTCTCACTGTCAAATATGGATAATTATTTCTAATATACTTGTTGAATCATCAAGTTTCAATTTACTCTATCAATTATATCATTAAATATACATTTAATTCTTTTACAGTTGCTAAATCATTGATGATATTATGTGATATTGATGTTGTACGTGTCAAGCACCAAGTTTCAATGCTTAGATCCCTGTCCCCTGTGGGCCCCATCACCACATTGCCTGGTTTCCATCCCTGGTGCCATAGTCTCCAATGATCAGCAGCTCGACGCATTGCTGGGCTGCCACCACCGGCAGCATCAACGTCCTACGGAGGCACCACTCAGCGACATCACGTAGCTTTGATGCCCAGCAAACACGGACGGGAAACTTGCAAAATCCTGGAAAATATGGAAACTGTCCAGCAGTCGGAAGAAAAAGGGCTGGGAGTTTCAATTGAAGAAACCATGAGTAGAAGTGAGTAGACCATCGCGTTCCCAGGCCTGCTGAAGTTCGCTGGGATTTAAAAAAAAACACATGACCAGCCCATCTGCATGAAGAGCTGATGTCTCATCACAATCAGCATCCCATTCGTTGGGAACAATGCCAATAAATCAACAGGTACTCATACAGAAACATTTACTTAGGTTGACGCCATCAATCCATACAGAAAATACATGTTACTTTGTTGATTTGTCCCAAATTCGAGTGTTTTATCCTAGAATGGTCGAAACGGTGAAACAGGGCAGGTACCCCAAAAATGGATGGCTAAGCTGCCAAAGATGTCATTTTTTGCGACCATTGGTACCCCAATGAACCATCTTGGGGTTGCTGAATTAATATCCATTGATGACCATCATCTATAGTCAAGTCAGCCGGCGGGACTGTGTCAAGGACAACTCAACGATCTTGAAACGAGTATCAAACGGGTGTAGAATTTCTGATGTGTTGCATGGAACCGCAATATATGATAATATATGTAGACTATGTCCTTTTGTTTGGCGCATGGGTCTAAATCCTCCAAACAAACAGCATGTCTAAGTGAAAATCCCCGCAGTCGCTGTTCCCACACACCCGAGGAAAAGATGAGGACCAGGATGCTAAAGGAATCCCACACCCAAGGTTCAATCAATCATTTTTTGAGCCAAGATAAATACACCTATCCCATCCCAGTATACTTGCTGGAAAACTGATATTCCCATTCTGAGTTCAAATGATCCCCAATAAGCTAGATACGAGCAGTATAAACCCCTTTTTGTCACACTTCAACTAGGGTACATACATATGTATATATATGTATATACATATATATATACATATATATATATATGTATATATATATACATATGTATATATATATTCTCAATCCCAGTTGCCAATCTCATCCTCCTTTTTCAGCGCTTTAAGCTGCCTTCACTTTGCAACCCACCTGGCCTCCACATCTTGGGCATGGCGACGTATGTTTCTTCTACAACTGCTTAAGGGCCGAGTTGAAGCTGCAACGGATCCTCTATTGGTTGATGTTGATGGCATGTGAAATGCCAAGATCTGCCGACTCTGGTTGCTCTTTGGGGGTTGGTGATATACTCACAATGATAGTCCCTTTCGGATTGTAATATACGTTTCAATTTGTTGCTTAATCCCTTGATGATCTTACCGAAATTGATCAAGATTGCAAAATTCTAATTTTCACGGCAAAACTGTCCCAATTCCCGTGAGTGAAACCTCTGTTTTTCATTGGTCCCCGAAATGCCTGCAACAAATTTGCACCCCACGTCCCACTTCGAGGTGCAAGGCAGTCAGGGAGTCAGCCACTATATACCGAATATGCGTATGTGTCATTTGTGACTGTGACAATGTGTCAGTACAAGGTGGTACCCCATACTTAGCTAAGTTGGTGTGTAACTCCAAATTCACTATGGTTTGTGTTAGATATATCACTTACTATGGTTTATAAACCAACAAACGTCACTGGGGGGCACCACCTTGTAACTGTGGATGCCATCTCAGCAGTCCTCTAAGTCAGTGACAGCTGCCATCCCGAAGCACTCAAAGTCACTTTGTGGAGAGCAGCTTATGAGGCCAACGGGAACAGAGAAAGTTGATTTTAAGAAAACATGAAAAAAAACATCATCGAAGACAGATTCACCAACAAAAACAAACTGACTGGACGAATCACCAGAAATAAAAAATAAACAAAAAAAATATACATATATAATCATATATATATATACACATACTCTAAATAAATCAAAACCTGGAATTTGCTATTTTTTGTTTTTCTTTTTCAATGTTTTTCATTGTTTGTTTCTTTTTTTCCACAGTTTTTGCTACCCCAAATTCGCAATTCCTTTCTGTTCATGTCCTCAACATGCTGAAAAAATCATCCTAAATATCATTAAATATCATTAAAAATCCATCATTTCATCCTTAACTCATATTTTCAGGGACGACAGTTGCTCATTTAGCTGTCGTGTTGCTTAAAGATTTCCCCCAAGTTTAATGGTCCCTGCACCATCACCAGCCACGCGTTTCCCGCGGCCCGCGTGGGGCACCCGGCGCGCGGTGACTCTGCCGGCTGGCTCTGCATCTCCGCATCTTCTGCTTGGCTCCCGATCTCCAAGGCCTTCGAAGTTTTGTGGCTTGGATAGAAAGTGACACTTGGGGATACCATGGAATATGCAGATGTGGATTCTTATAGGGATATTAAATAAGTGGTCAACTATGTACTGAATATAATAATTATGGAACACAACCATCAACAGGGACATAGCTAACCATGTGGGGATGTTATAGGGATACAATCATCTTGAAGTAGATACAACATCGAATGGTACTGGAATGTTCCGACATAATTCCATTTTAGTATTGTTTTCCAAATTCTATCTACTCCAGGATGACTCTACAAGCTAAGTTTCGAACCTATGTTTCGGCCTATGTTTCTGAGTATGTTTCGAATGACGTTCAAAATGCCTATGATCTAAAGTGCCCAACACCGTATTTAAAGAAACTGCAACATATGTTATAAGCAGCATGAACCAACCATTTGGTGGTTGAGATAAATGGTGATCAAATGGTGAGTTCATGGTGGATGCATGATGATTATTGCAATTGACAAAATGGTGATATCATGGTGGATAAAATGGCTGTCCGCGTCACGGAAGGACGTCGTAGGTGGTAGTCAGTGGTCCTGTCACCAGGTGATCACCATGGCTCCAGCTGCCCCATGACTGGCTGGTGGTTTTAACCAGCTTGAAAAATGTTAGTCAATGGGAAGGATTATCCCATATATTATGGAAAGAAAATGTTTGAAACCACCAACCAGATGAGAAATCAGAATTTGACTCTTGGTTCACCATATTTTCCTATGGTTTCGTTGATGGGGAGACCAGTAAACTTACACAACTCGATATGGAACATCCACTCTTCATAGGATGATGATCATAAGCTTTCTCCATGGTTTTTCCACGGCGTTGCACTAGGTGGAACTTTACCAACCGTGGTGGGGATATCATGGCGCCTCAAAACGCTCGTTTTTCATGAGGTTTTGCCACGATATACTGGTTCAGTCCCATTTCCCCAAGATCAATGCTCGGGGGGTGAACAATTGCAAATGGTGGATAATGATGGTTTAATGTTAACATGGGATTGAAGCTGGCAGTAGTATTAACCACAACGTGAATATACGTGAATAATGTATTTCAACTTCGGCGTGATTTCTTGATGCTATGGACTGGATGGATGTGTTGAATTTTTGTTACACACATGTCTTTGTTTTCCTTTAGGCAATTTGTTCGGCAATACTCCGAATCTGCAACATGTCCCAATTCCCGTAGGTCTATTGGGATAAGTTCAAAAGGAGGTTATGAATCCCAACCTAACATTAACACAGTTTAAGCATCCTGAAATGATTCTAAAATATTCTAAATACCAGCCAGTTTGGACACAACATGTATAGATCCAATTCGTTTTACCAGGCTGTTGTTTGGTGGGCATTTAGTAAAATATTAGGGCAGAAGGGAGTGCAAACTTTGGAGTTTGAGCAACAGAGGTTTCAATGCTGCAAATTCTACCGCTTCCACAGCAAGACATGAGAACCATTCCGCCACTTGGGTGGATGCAACTAGCTTGTAACTTATAATTTGGTCATTTTGATATGCAATCTGCCATGTCTTGTAGCCTAATGACCCGCAATAGCTGATTGCCATGTACGTGCTGTTTAGATATACCACAAGGGGTGGGTGTCTGGATGATTTACCCACCAAAACGAAAGTCCAAGCAACAATCATGGTGGCTATACGCGCCGAAACCAAGCCTCTTGAAGGGCCCGCTGTTGGGTATTCGCCGTGCGGTTGAGCCGCTTTTGAAAGGCTTTGTAGGCCTGGCGGATGATGCGGATGTGCATCTGAGTAAGTGACTCATAGAACCCACTAGCAATTGGTATAACTGGGGTATATCCCCTTTGATGAATGTCTACGTAACTGTTCACAGTAGGGGTCGGATTCGATTTTGGCGAGTTCCAAACTCGAGAGGGACTGTGATATTAACAGCATGATAAACATGCTACATGCTGAACATGCTACATGCGGGTAAATATGCCAACCATTTGGGGGTTATATCATTCTCAAATACCTTCAAGTGGCACTTGCATGTTGGTTCAACTTTAGGTTCTCTCAGCCTCTGAGCTATCAGCCCAGTCATACATAAGTTGATTCACGTTGTTTAATCCATTGAGAGCAAGGTTCACAAATTTCCTAAGTAATTAGGATGAACCACCGAGTGGACATGATTCTACTGCAATATTTTCTCTCGCAGGATTGGGGACTTTAATTGATGTGTTTCTACATGTCTGGACAGGGTACTTCTCCAAAGTGGAATACCAACAGACCATTGGTTTGCCCAGTATAAATTGCCTATGTTGGGTGATTTTAGGGTCCCCCATCTTATGAAATCCCCAGATGATGTCCCAAATTTATGATCTGCTTGATCCGGTTGGTGGCTGCACACCCCAGGACATTTATAAGCGGCAGCAAACAAATTAAAAGCATTCAAACAAATGTATGGTACTGTACATCCCGATGACAAGTGGGTCATACCGCTATTTTGAAATCAATGAGCTACTGCATCGTAGATTGGGCGGCTACCTTATGTCTTATATTCATGGTACACCAATGATATTGTTATTCAACCACCGATCAAATACAAGCCACTTAGCTCAATACCTTGGAAGGTTTTACTCCATCTATCAATCATGGCAGGAAGACCTTCCAGATCTATTCACCTTTGAAAACTAACTCTTTCCAAGCTTGTGCTTAAACAAGTTGCCATTTTTTTTACCATTCTTTTTGCTACGGCTAGGTCTGTCAACAGGATGTACTGAAATCCTCCATGAGGTGAACGATGTCCTTGACCCAGGGGATCTGAACACTGCCAGTGCCATGGTGGCACTTTTTATGGGTTAGTGAACGACAGTGATCTATTTTGCAATCCATGAGAACTTGGGTTCCCCCTTGGCTGCGCAGCTGCTCCGGTGGCTGTTCTGAATTGGTTGTGAAAATTGGGGAGTAACCGCTCATTTTTCGTGAACCACCAGCTAGGGTTATTCCAGCTAGGCTTACATATTGGGCCTCGTGAGTTACTAGGTCATCATGAGTCATCAGATGAGCTGTTGCACTCAGCGAAAACCATGGAACTCAACATGGGGATACATTCCGCTGGGAATCCTCTAGCTCCAATCTTGGACACTGTGCAAGAACATGAGCTGGTTAGTATAGATCCCCGTTTACCAAAAAAATGTAATCAAATGACAACTACACCTACTTCAATCAAACTTCAATCCAAGGTTCACAAATGTTTAATAAGGTCGCCGAGTTTTTCCCAAGGTCGTTCCGCCGCATTGACACGAGGCAGCTGCCTCGCGTCCTCCTGAAATCCACGACTGCCATCTGGCACGCAGCACTTGCACCTTGGGCACGAAAAGTCATTGATTGGTTCAGTCATCCTTCAGATTAGCCCACAACTTTTCGCGGGGTTAGTATGGGTTGGTTCAGTCAGCCAGAAAATTTTGGATAATTCACGAAGGGACTTACCCTGATCCTCGAGGTCATCATAACTGGATCACTGGGTCCGTGAACCCGAAAAATTGGTTGAAATCAAGAGTTTTTATGGTTTATTTTAGGTCTTTACGTATAGAGATTTAAGATGTTCCTTAACATAGATCCAGCAAAATAACAAAGCCTTATAGTGTGTGAATTTCTCAGGGTTCTTTTTGTGATCAGAGCGTTAGCTGAGTTGAGGAATGCGCCGTGTTGGGCTTCGAAGAAGACATCTACTCTAGCTGGTTGGTGGTTTCAACCCTCTGAAAAATATTACACTTTATTGCACTTTATTGGTGGGGCAGCAGGGCAGCACAGCGACCCTACCACCCGCCGTCTTTCGAGCGCCTAGCCGTCCCTAGCGGCCAAAAGAACAGCCAAGTCATTTGACGAGGCCGCTTGTCTGCCCAATTGAGCAAACACATGGCTATCCACTCGGCTCGTCATCTCATCCGTCCACTTCAAACGGTAACAGACAAGCCAACGTGACACTGAAGAAGAGTGTGGCCGCGTTAACTTGTTGGGTACTGTCAATCCATTCCCTTTCCAATAGCTTTGAAGCAACATGAGGAAGAGCTTGCACCGGTCTCCCCAACATCGTCGTGCCAGCTGTGGCGCGGCACCCTCGGATGAAAACCATCGCTTTTTGTGGCACCAGGGCCCTTGAAATCCAGTGTGCAAGTTAAACGAGATGAACAATTGAATGCCTGCAATGTAGCGCAGTGGCGCACTACCTTGAAGCATGTGAACACCCCACTGCATCCACCAGTTGTGTACATGTTGAAGGTTGAGCATGCCATACCTCTTGATGAGCTTCTCGGGGATCTGCCATGCCACCGGTAGGATCGGAGCAGGCACTTCTCTCTCCAGAGTTGCCTGCGGCACCTGTGGCTTCACTTCACTTGCCGCCGCCAAACGCGAAGTCTGTAAAAGCACAAGTAATATGGCTCGGTGCAACTGCCGGTGAAACTTTAGTGCACCATGGAGCCCCACCCAGTCTCTCCAAAACTCATCGGGTCGTCGAAAATTGACACCCTCTGCTGCTGAGTCAGTCAACCCATTATGCCAGTACACCCACTCTTCCAAGAAGCAAGTCGCCTGCCTCAAACTGCCGTGAGAGACCACCTGGCGGATCTGTATCAAGTCCCCATGCTGAGCAACCAAAGCCTGGAGATGGCCCCACAAATCTGAGTTGGCTCCATTGCGCTTGATAGCCCCACCCTGGAGCAGTTTGTGAACTCGCTTCACAACCCCCTGGCAGTCGGACCAAATGCGGACCGCCTGTTGATGTTGTACAGCCCACTGAACTGCTTGAAGCACCGCTGTAAGTTCTGCCCTGAAGGGAGACTGGTTCAATCCACGCACGTAGCCACATGCTAACACCTGATTGTCCATTGAGCCAACTCCTCCTTGGACCACTGTAATCGCCCAAGCTGCAAACCGTAGTTTCACATCTGTAGGGAAGGCACAAGTCCCATCTACAAAAAGTTCCAGCACCTGGGAGCAATGGCGAACTGAGGGCTCAATTGGTGACATCCTACAAAATCCATCCCCTTGCAGCAACCACCTTGAGAAGACCTCCCACTCCGGAACAATCACAGGCCACCCATGATCAACTAAACACGCCGGAAGCAACGCCAGACACCCAAGCTGGTCAGAAGTGAGGTGTGACCGACAGGCAGCGAAGTGAGGGCAAATCCAAGCCCGGTGGTGGAATCCATCTTTCGCAGGGCACCAAGGACATGTGGAGGAGACATCAGGCTGAAACTTGGCACGTGCATTTTGTGTGAACATGGTGCCATCCAAGTGGCAACGCAGGTAGACCTGATCAACGGGCCCAAACGCCTTCAAAGCAAGGTGAAGTTCAGATAAGTCCACATTTTCAAGTCCAGCAAAGGTAGGCCTGTGCATAAGCTCCTGCGCCAACACATGGCCCCAACCAAACCTCACCCGAATCAAGAGCTCATCCCAAGCAACCGTCATCAACGAGAAAGTGCCGAACCTATCTTGAACAAGACCTTGACTCCCTACACCCCACCCTAGCCGCTGGAGCCTGGAAAGAAGGATGGCTGAAGGGCCGTTGGAAGGAAGCTTTTCCTGCGCACTGGCAAAGAGACCCAGTGTGTTTTGAACCGGTTGATCACAGCCCAACTCACGAACATCACGGAACGTCTGGACTACAGACCAAGCTTCAGGATCACTAAGGAGAGAGGACGTGACCAAGTGCAGATAAGGGTTAGTCCCTTTCCTGTCAGCACGCATGGCACGAACAGCACCAGAACGCAAGCTTTTGAGATGTGAGGCACCCAAGTGAACAACCGCTATACCATGCAGTGCCCGTGGCCATGCCATCATGTGGAGGGCAGTCACTTTTTGCTTGTAAGTGGCCTGGCTGGCCCTGAGCTTAGTCCAAACCTGGGGCATACGACCAAGCCGCTTCTGCAACACAGCATTGTGGCAATGCCGACTGAAGTTTTGGTGGGCACCCAAATTGCGAGCTGCAAGTGTGACCTGGATGTCACCTGTGCGGAATTCCCGCCTCGCCTCCGCCTCTGTTGACCACAACCTAGTCTTGCCCATGTCAATTGCCAAGTCCATATGAGAAGTGAATTGTTCCAGGGAAGTCCAAACACGGTCAAGAGCGCTCGCGTCACGGAACAAAACTCCCCAGTCATCCACAAAGGTGCGCAGGTCAACCGAGACTTCAAGCCCTTGGAGCCACCAGTCCAGCATCCAGTCAACCATGGCCATGCCAAAGACGGACAAAGCACAGCCCTCTGGGAGGCCACAGTTAGATGTCAAGGCCTCACCAACAGAGTTTCGAACCCGAAATCGACGGGTCTGCGCAGCAACAAAGGAAGCCCACGCCTGCAGTGTGCCCGTCGGAAATCCAAGATGAACCAATGCACACCAAAGGGGAAGCCTGGGGATGTTGTTGAAACATTTCTGAATGTCCATGAGCAACCCATGCAACGCAACTCCATCAAGGTAGGACCTTTCCAAGGCAAACGCAAGCTCAAACCAGATGGACTTGGCCTGACGGGCCGGAACACCACCCTGAATGCTGTTGGGCAGCACATGCAACACAGAACGCAAGGACTCACGAGCACGAACCGAGGACCACACCCTGTAGGGCAAACTGTAAACCACCACTGGCCTGAACTCATCCACCTGTTGAGCACCAGCATGTTTGGCCAAACATGAAACAAAACCAGCCGCAAGTTGATGTGGCCAGGGAGCCCCTGCCTCCACTGCTTCATAGAAGCGCAACATGGTTTGACGTGCCGCAGCAGGCAAAGCAACAAGGTCCGGTTGTGCCACACCATCGGAGCCTTTTGCAGCCCGCGGCTTTTTGTGCCGAATGGCACGATCAAATCGATCCAGAGTCCACGGTTCATGGCACCACTCAAGCGGCTTTGCAGTGCGCTCCAAGAAACCACAAATTTGATCCCATTGGCCTGGCACAACATGGGTGTGTTTAGTCCATCGACCTTTCCAAACTTCAGCAAGACGTTCGAGTATGGCAGTGTCATCAGAAACTGCCCTCTCTTGCGTAAGGACACATCCAGGTTGGATGTCAGGAAGGTTCTCCAGCCAAACCTGATCTTCCGAATGAGCAACCACAGACACAGCTTGACCATCAAGTACCACCGGAAGATCACGCAACAGGGAAACAGAACGCTCCAAGACCACCGAGTTGTCTTCAGATCGAAGTTCCTCAACCCCAACCGAGACACGATCAAGCAGAGTGTCAGCCTGAGGTAAGGGCTCATCACGACAGTCCTGGAACACATGAGCAAGGTTAGCCGCCCGTCTGTGCTTGGCATGCTGGTAGCGCTGCTTGACCAGTGAGGCCTCATACTGCTGCACATATTGCTGAAAGCCATGAAACAGAGCACGCACAAAATCCAAACCCGGGCAACAAAGAGGAAGCGGTGAGCACAAGCTAGGGGTCAACCCCTGAGAAGTCCACCAAAGTCCAAAACCCCCTGGGAACCCAACTGCAGTTCTAATGGACCGCCATGTCTCATCACGGTTGATCTGACCATTCCAGGTGCTGATTTCTTTACCCAAGATCCTAACAAGAGACTGCAGCCGTCGCAGCTGACGGAAGTACCTGGCATGCTGCAATGAGACCCCCATATAGGTAGGTTGAACATCTCCTTGACGGGCTTTTTTGACCGGACAAAGATATTGCCGAGAAGATTGAGGTGCAAGAGTACCAGCTCGACCACATTGCTTCTTCATGACATGAACCCCTTGTTGCAAAGCCCAACATTTGGCCTGTCCCTCAACTTGGGACCAAAACGCCGCATAGGCATGGGTCAGGTCACCTTCAAAGTCCACATCCATTTGGCAAGTCCAGTGCAATGGCCATGGAAACTGCTGAGGACAAGGCCAGGCATGAACCGTTGTGACCATGTGATCATGTGAAAACGTTGCACTCACTGCAGCATGATCAGCCCAATGATCAAAGGATACCGTGGTGCCAACATAAACCCTCTGAAGTTCAGGGGATATCCAAAGTTGATCCAGGCGCCTAGATCCCCTCCCCGTAGCCTCAGTGGAAATTCCATGCCTCCAAGCTCGGAGGTCCTGCACTTCACGAAACCCCAGAGCCCTCAAGCGGTGAAGTTGGTCCAGCTCTTCGGGACCAAAATTGAAGTCTCCCCCTATGGCCCTAGGTCCAACCGACTGACAGGCAACACGGTCCACAAGGTCTGCTAACAAGGCATCTGTTTGGTAGCGCGCTTGTTTGTGCTGTGAGTTGCATGGAACCCCATACAAGACCCCCAAGGTAACCCAAACATCAGCCACTGCCATCCCCACAACCTGCACTCTCGAAGTGGCATACGAGTCCACGGAGAACTCATGAGGCAGAGCACGGGCCGGCAGCTTTGATAGGACCATCACCCCCGTATGACTACCCGTTTCAGTGTGTCGCCGAGGTGCACAGGGAGACCCCGGGATGGCATACTTCCATGGGCTCTTCAACATCTTGAGGCCTTTCTGAAAGGCAGCGACCCCTTGTCTGGAAAGCTGGGTTTCAGTCAGCAGCCACGCATCTCCTTCCAAGTGGGCAGCTTGATCCAACTTGCCATTCAACCCAGAGGGATTGGCAACACCCAAAGTCCATAGTCCCCTGTCTGACTCAGCAGGGCCCGGGTGCAACGCCTCACCAACACGCACAGTAAGGCCAAGCAGCAACACAACGCACTTCAACAGTCCACCCCTTGGTACCAACCGTACCTGCCGATGGGTTCTCTTCCGCTGAGAGGTTGTGCAAGTCCAAATCCAACAACCCTCCCAGCCATGACATCGCATCTGAGCAGACCTCATTTGGCCAAGGAGAGCCGACAAAATCCAAAAGATCTTCGGTTTGCAAGGTGCACGGTCTTGTCGCCCCACACCATGGCTACCCCCCGTATCCCACATACCAGAGGACACCACAAACCACCACAAAATCAAAACCACCACAGCCAAGCACAGCAAAGAGTGGCCGGGATTCCATATGGCCAGGGGCCCAAAAAGTCCAGCGCAGCCCAGCAAGCCCTGCCAAACTGACCCCAAAATCCAAACCGTCAAAAGACCACCTACGAACCTGACCCAATCTCCAGCGGCAGTCAGACCAGAGACTGGGCACCATCACTCCTGTCTGGGGCGCTTCGTCAGCAAAGACTCAAACTGCGCCATCTGCTTGTTGAACATGTTGTCCAGCATGGTCTGTTGGTGGCTGACCTGCTGACGAAATTGTTCTTGAACCGAATCCTGAAAGCCCTTCATAGTGGAGGCTTGGGAAGCCATTGCCTGCTCAAAGTGAGCACCCTGCTGCTGAGCTTGCGTCCGAAGCTCCATCATCTGAGAAGTCGTATCTTGTGCATGCTGCTGAGTGGAAGCAGCTAGGGCAGAGGTTTGCCCTTGCAAATCTTGAAACCTCATTTCCAAAGCCGCAACCCTCCTCTCAGTGGTTTCATCTCCATCAACTTCCATGGTGGACTTCGGAAGCTGAGCCATGACTTCATTCAGCACTTTCTGAGCCATGTCTTCCACAGGATTCCCAATTTGAAAGGTGGCTTTGGGAGGCAAGCGGCTGGCAGCTTTGGCCCATGGATCATTCACCTGGATGAAGTCCGTCTCAACTTGCTTGGCCACCATGGCTTCAGTCAGTGAGGTGGCCTGAACCTTCGGCAACACTCGGTCAGGCTGATCAACTTCATCTTCCTTGGCAATCAAAACGTCACCATGTGCCATTCTGATGACTTTGCATGGAGGCTCTTGCACTGATTGGACCCGGTACATGAGCCCCTGGATATGCGCTTTGGCAGCAACTGCTTGGATCGGCTTGGCAGTCCACCCATTGGTGTGCAACACCTGAGCCACCGACCCTTGGAGTGTCCCGTAGGCAAAAGGGCCAACCAGGTATGTTTGACGTTTCCCAGGTGGCAAAAAGGTCTGGCCAGGTCGAAGGACAGAGAAGACCTCTGCTGCATGTTCAGTTCTGCACCGTAAGCCCATCTTTTGGCCAAGCCGTGCAAGCCCCACCACATGTGCAACTGTCTGACGCTGCAACATAAGCTGAGACATGTCGGCCTTAGGAAGCCAGATCACCTGAAAGTCATGGGAGGGTTGACGTCCATCCAGCGACTTCGGTTCCAAGTAGACACCATCATGGCCAGAAAAGTACTGAACTTGCATTTGCATATGCTCAGGCAATCTCATGTGTGCCGTGAAGACCTCAGCATCATCTGGAGCAGCTGATCGAAAGTCTAATTTCAGCCACTGCTTGCCCCAGAGTTCAAGAACCGGGGAGTCCACTGGAAAGTCCAAAGTCCGATGCCAACACTCACATCCACAGCACTCTTCATCACGACACTGCATCAAAGGTGGCACCTGAGCAAAGACATGTAACATGGGATGTGCAACCACTTCTGGCCATGAAACAGAGGTTTGATCACGAAAGACCCAAGCCTTCACCACACAAGTCGGAACAGCTTTGACCTCACACGAAGGTGGCATAGGTGCACGCTGAACAGGGACCGCACCAAGCTGGAAAAGATGGCCATCAACAAGTAATGGCTCTGAGTTCACCGCACAAACCAAGGGGATACGCACTGCATCAACCCGAAACTGAGTGTTTGGTGGCTGAACCAAGTCCACAACAAAGAAGCCCAGAGCACCAGAAGAGATAGGATTGGTAGCTTTCAAGTAAGGGTCAATTGCATGCCCCGAGACAACCACCACCCCTGCCACGGTAGGTCCTACCTGGGAAAGTCCAAGCTGCGCCAGAGGCTGGCCGGTTTCACTCTGGAAGATTCCATGCTCAAGCCGAAGCGACGTGGGGTCGACCGTCAAAGGTGGAACTCCGAAGCCCTTACCTTTCCCTTTGGCCTGTTTAGCCTGCTTGTGCTTCTTGTGCCCCACTGGTTTCTCCTGAGCACGCCGGTCAATCTGAGCCTGAAGTTCGGAAGGCTTGACAAACATGAAAGGGGGTCTCATCTGATTGCCCAACCATTTCAATTCACGCGTTGGCAGAGTCCAGTGCTTTCACAACCCCTGGCTCACCAAGAGCTTTCAGTGCTGCATTGGCACGGGCAGTGGCTTCAGCAGCAGCAACCCCATGTTGAGTCAACAGTTCAGCAAGTCTCCCTGAGGCAGAAATTCCAAGTCCAGCAAGCATGGGACGCAGGCACATGTCAGTCATGTGATTGGCAAACTCAGTTCGCAAGGTTTGAGAGGTAAGCACCAAGTCCTCTTGATCAGCAACCATCGGCCAAGCCCACAAAAGATGACGGACAAATGAGACCGCAAGTGCTCCACAGAATCCATCCGGAACAAATCCAAGGCTGTGTGGCTTCCAGACCCCCTTGGCACCCCCAACACACAACTCAAAGACCCGACTCAACTTCTCCAAGACCGATTCAAACTCAGTCGTAACCGGCAAGGTGTGCAGCACAGCTCCAACTGTATCAACCCGCCAGATCAAAGGGACCCAATGGCCACCAAGCAAGACCGCAGAGATCACAGTGCACATTGGCGCCAAAGTGGCCACCAGTCTCTGCCATGTGGACGGGACATCTTGTTGAACCAACCCTGTCACCAAGAGCGGATCCCAAACATTGACATTCTGATCCGAAGCAGTGCTTGTAGCTGTGCTTTCAAGCAAGTAGACCAACTCATCATCGCCCCACACAGGGCCCTGCAAACTCAAAAGGCTCTCCCTTTCAACCCTGGCCATGTTAGGGTACCGTGCCATGAACAACCGAGACAAGTCAGTGACAGGACCAGGCTCAGACGCATCCGAAGATCGCACATGACGCAGAAACTCATCAATGCCAAGGCAACACGGCACAAACCGGTCAGCCATCAATTGCAAAGGGTCCCAATCCGGAGGCACAAGAGACACAAGCGACATGTTCACCAACGGCAAGGCCGGGTCCACCAGTTCCCCATCCACACAAATGCGAAAGTCCATCGAACATGTGCCAAGCTTGCATTCTGCCTCAATCAGTTGAGCACCTGTGACATTGGGAGACAGCTTGAGTTGGACATCTGGCTGACCAGTCATGGGACGTGACAGCATGATCAAGGAGTGACCATCCTCAACACCAACCTCCTCAATTGGGTCCTCAATGGTCGCAGCAATGGTGTTGGGCGACGCCATTTCAGCCGGCATGCCTGGATCACATCTTGCATGTACACCTGAAGAATGGCTTCAGGGGCAGTGGGAACCTGATCAAGCGTCAAGTCAAGACAACGTCTCACCTGGGCAAAAATCCAAACCCCCATGATCGGTGCAACAGCTTGACCTACACCCGCCATCGCAAGCCTCAAGTTGTGGCCCATGTTGACATCAGGGTGGCCCCCCATGAGTACCCACATTTCAAGCGGATGCAAGTATCTGGCATGATACATTTCGATATGCATGTGTGTCTGGCTGGTGCCCAATGGAATCAAAACCCCAACAAGCCCCTTTTGACGGAGTCTGCTCTCAGCCAAAGCAGGTCTGCAACCACATGCACAAGTGTACAACTGGTTACCAGCACTGTGAAGCAAGGTGGGAAGCTTCTCATGGAGTTTCACCCAGACATTTTGCATTCCACCTGCAGCATACTGGTAATACTTGGACAACTCGTACAGGTTGAGTGTCAATTGCGCCTGTTCAAACTGGTGCCATGCGGTGAAGGACGGAATCAAGTCTCGGACAACCTGGACGTCTGAGCAAGAAGGCAAGTCCAACAGTTCACAGACAGGGACAACAGGGGCCGTCAGCACAGCAATCCACCGGTCACGTTTGCCACACCAAGCATTCCCAAGTTTCACAATGGCCTGTGACATGCGAAATCCAGTGGCCACAGTGTACTGCCGAAGAAGCTCCTGAGCTTGGGAGTCACGCAGCACCTCAGGTGTGCATTCCAAAACCAAAACAGCTGCCTGCATGAGCCATGCCACCTGCAGGGTGCGGGGCAATGATTGCGCCCTGGGATCCTGCATCCCTTTTCGGTCACCCAGGATTGAGTGAGGCTGACAAGCTATGCCTGAGCAGACAACCCCATGGAAAAGTCCACGACGAAGCAACTCTTGAAGAACACACGGATCCAACAAGTCACCAGCACAGAAACTGGACTCACCATGCAGAGACTCAAACAGCTTACGCCAGAGCCCATTTTGATCGACCCCCATGGCAACCGAAAATCCAACCCGGGCAGCAGCATAGGAAAATCCACCCAGCCCGCAACACAAGTCAATGACACGAAAGAGGTCAGAACGAGTGCAAGGTGGCACAGCAACTACGTACGACCTGTCATCCACCTCAAGCTGCAAGGGGTTTAAGGATGTCACCAAAAGTTCAACCCCAGCCACCATTGATCCCAGGGGGAGTTGTCCTTTAACCCATATCTTTGTGCCCCTCCGATCATGTGATTGCGCAAGGTGCCATGCTGTGGTTCCTTTAGAATCCAAACAAATGATGTTCATCACCGTGGTGGTCCTTTGCCCTACAGCTAGTGACGAAACATCCATGGCGACCCAAAACGAAAAAGGACCTTCAGGGGGTCAGACGGTACGGCCCCACTGCTGAAAAATATTAGTCAATGGGGACGATTATCCCATATATTATGGAAAGTAAAAAAATGTTTGAAACCACCAACCAGCTAGGATGGAATCCATTTGCTCAGCTCCTGCATCAGTTGAGCCAGATCGGGATCCTCCAGGCTCCAACAAGGATCAGGCCACAGTCCACGACACGCCACCGCTCATTTGCATGCTGTAAAGGGCCAAAAAAACACGACTGATCCCACTCCCAGAACAGCTTTGACATTCAATGTGGGGCTGCCAAGTTAGAAGTTGGCTTATAATTGCCATTAACTTTAAACCACATTAACTTTATATAGTTGTAAAATGTTGTCAGCATCATAAAGCATAAACCAACTTAGCTATCTAAGGGGCCCCATATAAACTGACATGTGGAGATTTGCTGATTGGCATATTCTCACATACCTCACAGGTGGATAGTGGATATTACTGGATATTAATGATCTTCCTCAGTCCAAATAGCAAGAAACATTCCCCACTAACCGGTTGATGGTTTCAACCTGAGGAATTCCCAATGAGATCTCTTCAATTGGGGACCATCCTGTAACGCACGCACTGTTCTGCATGAGTTTACATGGTGGCGCATGTTTTTCATTGCAGCACTAACATGTGATTATGACCAACAATTTATGAAATCCCTAACTGAACATGGAAGCCAACAAAGACCACATGGAATAAATCATCTTTGGGGCCCAATTCTTCCCATGTCAGAATTCAATTCTTCAAGGCCGCCGCCAAGGCGCTTCTGTGCATTTGCCATGATAGTGATATGGTGTCCTTGGAGCCATCGAGGTGGGCTGAACTTTCCATCGACCCAGCATCATTATCTGATTGACTGTACCAAAGCACAGAAAAATGTAGAGATATTATGGTTATATAATATATAGATATTATGGCATAGTTTTCTATGAAACAAAATGGTTATAGATATGATGGTTACTAGTCTGGGTCAAAAGCTCACTACCCTAATGAACACCAACATTGTGGGTACATGGATATTCATCAATTTCACACATATTGACCTATCCCTATTATTTTTTATAAATGATATGTAATCTATGAACCAAACCAAGAATTATCGGGCGTTATTTTCACAATGATGAGCCCCGACTGCTTGCATCTATATCGAAACAGATCTGGGGTTAAAACCAGCAGAAGTAGACTTGTAGAGCTACAATCCACTCTATATTTCCCGGTTTCAAACCTGAGTTTCTCCCATAGTTTTTTTGTGGCCAAAACTGGCACTTCTGCTGGGGAAATCCGGTTTCTGCCATAGGAAACCATGGGAAATCTGTAGCCCAGCCACACTCCACACGCTGTGCAGACCTCAGGTCGCGATGTCAACCAGAAACTCAGCGCGAAACTCAGCGCCCATGATGGCAACTCAACATCGGTCCAAATCCATTGAACTGCATTAACCTTAAACAACTTCAATGAAGGATAGCCCCCCAAAATCAACCTTATAACTGTTGATTTATAATGTTTATATAATACAAAGTGGCTATCGTAATAGCGGGCCTCAAATACCACTTAAACCCATAACCAAAAAAACACAGCGACTTGAACTCAGAAATGAACAACAGTTTTAGGCAATGAAGACGGGGATGTCGTTGAATCAGCAACAGCGGACATAAATGCAATGGTGGGATTTTCAGTTGCAGGGTGGTTATAAACACCAACTATATATAATTATATAATATATATATATATATTTATAAGTACATGAGGTAACCATATTTATTGGAATATAATATTGGAATTCTAAAACCAACGTCGCCATTTCCTGAAAGGGTCCCCCGCTTTGTGGGGACTCCAAACAACAACAATGGTAACTATTGACCCATCCTGAAGGGTGCCATGGTCAAACATTGTACATATTATGGTCATCCCACCATCACAACAAGGGATTCCTTCAAGGCTATATAAATCCTATGAACAGATTCAGGACAAGTTTATGGTAGTATCTATAGTTACTATGGTTTATAAACCAACTTAAAACTGGGGTGACGCCACTTTTTGTCTTTTTTTTGTATCGCTAACAAACCCCGCAACGGCATGCAACGGCGCCATTCCCGTCGCCACGAAATGAGTTGCCCCACCGGTGCTGCACCACAGCTGCAGGACCAGGCTTGGCGTTTTCCCTGGTGTGGAAAAACGATGCTACAAAAAAGGGGCCGAACCCCTTGAAAACAACTTGAAAGCCTGGAAATATGTGAAACAATGAAGGATGTTCAGCAAAACATGACGAAGAAAACACACGGTGTTTAGCTTACACCAGGCCGCCTCGACCGATTCACCGTATATCGCGACTGAATCAGCAGCCGGTTGGTGGCGATACGTAACGAACGCAGAATTTTTAGCAGCCGTAGAGCGACACTCGTGTTGTAATTGGTATCTTTCAGCCTGATATCAACATATCATATATATATATATACACAGTATATACAAACATAAGTCCATATATAATAAATAAATAAATAAATATATATATATATATTCGAGGAAATGGTGTAGACATCAAGCCCTGAACCATCCCTGCTCCAGTCGTTCCAGCCTTTTGTTGCTCGGATTACAGCAGCGAAAAACGGAGCAGAAAGCAATTCTCAAAGGGTTTGTTCCACTTAAAAATCAAAAAAAAAAACAGCAAGTGAGTATACCAATGTCCCAGAGATACTATGAACTATGGACCAAATGGTGCATTTTTTGGGGGTCGTTAAATTTGTAGTCCAAGGCATGTGTCATCTACATGGTCCCAAAGAAAACAGAGCATCTGGAAACTTTCCGTAGCCATCTTGCCAGCTGCCCAAACTATAAACCAACATTTTAACTTATCTTTCAAACTTTCCAACAAGTCAACGACTATGGAAGAATGGGAGCATTTCAAACTTTCTTGGCAACTTTCCCAAGCATTTCAACATATTTCTCAACCTATTTCAACTTGATGACATTTCACCATCCCATCCTCGGAATTCCGATGGACACTTGGCCTGCGCTAATGTAAAAGCAGCACCTCACGGTGGAAGTGAATATCTGGGTGGTTTGTATATACTGTATATTGTGGTCAATAACAGATAGATAGTTAGATAGATAGATAATGATAGATAGAAAGAGTAGAGGCAAAGCAAATCCTAGGATACATTCAGCATAATTGTCTGCACAAATTTATATAATTCAGGCAATTCAGGCGAAGTGTTCGTACGTATGTATGGCATCGTGAATCGTAAAACAAGAACATCTACAAACTTTAGGGATATACTCATCATAAACATGGTCAAGTCAGCCAGTGCTATAGTTTACCTCGAGAAAAAACAACGGGAAACTAGACTTGGGAATTGAACTCTCATAGATCCTGAGTGTAAAAATCGTAGAAACTCTTAACAGGTGCAAATAAAATGGAGAACTACGCACTATCCATTCGGGAATGAAACCAACTCACTAAACATGGAACAACAAAAATCACACTAACCCATTTATAAATGGAAAGAAAACAACTGAAGGGACTTACTGACCAGGCACTACACTCCGCTGTGAAAAACTGGGCACAAGCACCACAACCGGCCCTGCAAGGCGTGCTGCTCTCCTGGCGTAGCGTATCATGGCAGGCTGGGAATAAAACATGTTCTTTTGCAATCCACAACTCAAATGCCCCATGGTGTTGGAATATGTGTATATTTACTGACATTTACACCAAAAATGAGCCTAGACAAGATTTTTGAAACTTAACTACTGAATGTTACAGTAAGAACATCAATACAAATTAGATAGCCCTTGGGATACCAATGTTTATCTATTTGAAGGTTTGTTGCATATCTAGCTGGTGGTTTCAACCTATCTGAACAATATGCTCGTCGTTGGGGGATCGTCATCGCATTTCTATGGTTGCTAACGAAAGTACATGAAACTAGCAACATAACCATCAATGTTAGACCAAATGATGAAATATCCTCATTGTATATATATATAATTATATATATATATCCTCTGGTAAACTAACATAACTATGGAACATCACAAACTTCAATGGATAAATCCATTATAAATGGCCATTTTCAATAGCTATGTTAAATTACCAGAGGGTATATAATAATATTATGTACGTATACATGTACATATCAAAATCTTAGATGATTTATTTCCTTTGCAAAGTATGAATATCCCTGTAGCTTTGTTGGCGACCCAGCACCAACGGCCTGCACCTTCGCTGGAGTGAAAACCTGTTCAATGGCGGGTGTTTTCTTGGGACGTTGCCGGAGTCATCCACAAGCAAATGTGTTAAGTGAGTTAAGTGGGATAACATTGATAACATGACATCATGACATGGTGTATAACGTGATCTAACATAGCATGAACATATTATAATATATTATATTCATGGCCACCTTAATGGCCAACACTAACCGCAAGAACATGGATAAACTCCGTAGAACAAGTCCCCAAAGTAGGAATATACGTGACAATTTGAAGTTTGAATTAACCCAAGGTTTGTCCCAAACAATTTGGTTCCGTCCCCATGGTTCTTGTAGACATATCATCACGTTACCTCTGAATGCTGGGTTCACGTTCAACCATTTGCAAGGATACAAATCCTGATGTTCCACAGCTCCGGTTTCAAAAGGTGCCCCATTACAAGAGCCAAAACAACCCTTTGTGGTAATTAAAGGAACCAAATATAATGTCGGTTAGTTTCCAACATATGGATCTCACATGTTCCATTCATGGCATGATTACCAACATTTACGGCAAATATGAGCCAAATGTTGGTAAACATTCCATACCAGTATATGGAACATTGGGGATGTCCCCATCCTAATACTGTTGCAACACAATGTATCCACAAAAAACGACATCACTGACAATGAAATTGACATTGTTTATGCTAGGTTTCAACTTCCCATCTGTTATGGGAGCATCTTTGCGGGTCCTTCTATAGATGTATATAGCATCGTTGAGATGCTTGGGGTCTCACAAAATCTCACAAAAAACATGGAAGTCATCTGTACAATGTGGGTCCACCAATTTTTTGGTTAGTTTATAAACCCCATTCAGAGATAAGTATCATGAACTATAGTAATTGGGATTTCTAATTCATTTAATAATTTAATTATAATGAAAGCTTCAGCTTCCCCAATACTCCACCGGCGTTGGATTCAACATAAACCCGCCTTGCAACGCTCCTCCGGGAAGCGCAGGTCCTAATTTCGAAGGATGGGATGATGGGAGCAACCGAAAAGTTTATTGCATGTTTGAGCGTGTTTTGAATATTGAGATGAATTCAATGTGTAATTACCATTTCTTTAAATTTAATATCATCATATAAATCATAATTATATATATATTATACTTGATTTATCTCTACCCTCTCTGGTAAGCTAACCGTTTACGAACTGGAAAATCACAATTTTTCAAAACGGTACATCAACGAACTAAATGGCAGTGGCTTCAAAAGCTACGTAACAAATTACAAGAGGTATATATATCCAGATTTTGGTCTTTGTGGCTTGATTTTCATGCCGTCTGGGGATCTGAGGCAATGGACAATCACCCGTCTACTCGCACGATTTACGTGTCAATGATGGTGATTTTCCAAGGAAAAAAAGGAGGTTGAACGAACTCCGCTCTGCATCGCCTAACTGTTTCAAGTTTTAAACCTCTGGTTTCTGCCTTGCCTTTAGACATCCTGCTGTGCTGGGATTTTTCTCCACTTTGTGAGTTAGAAATGATTAGGATTGGCAAATTACGACCTTGGATAACATATTTTGTTGCGGAGATGACATATTCATATATATATATAATTATATATATATACATATATATATACAGTATTATACAGTATATTATTTTATACATTGATATACATTAATATATATATATATATTATACCAGACAGTTCCCTGTGACCTTAATGGCATTTTTTTGATAAGTGGCCTGAATGAAAAGGGTCACTTATAAAAACATCCAAAGAGATCCCTTTCCTCTGATGTGATATGCGCCAACTAGGTCACTTAGACAAAATCAAGGTCACTTAGACCATTGGAGAATCGGTTGGATTATATAACATCATCAATTTGGATGAATTGTGTAATAACCTCTCTTCGGCATACTGTACCAACTATGGATCAAGTACTACCTGCCCAACTTATCCCAACCGCCGGCTGATCCGCCCTGATGGGCACCGACCACATCGTCTTCAAGCTGGTGGTGCGAAGGACCGGTTTTTCTCCGTTGGCCACTGTGTCATGGGCCCTCTATGAGTTCCCTGTGCCACCGTACGCAGACGTAAGCAACATATCTAAGCAGCGGCATTGAACTCTCTGAGGAGTTCATCTCGCATAGAGCTCAGCCGCATCACGTTGAGGAGCCAGAACAATTCAATGAACCACTGCCGTGCCATTTGGCAAGGAATAGCTTCTAAACCAAAGTCCTTGCATGCCCCTACCATGTCCTCATCACCATAACATGCCACCCACAATGGGTTCAACCTCCAGGACTGGTCATAGCATACGTGGTCCATCCTCAGATACAAAAAGGTAGATGTGAAATACTGGTATATAACTGGATCACGAGGACACCCACGACGTTTTTGACATGATATACAGACTAGAATCTTGTGCAGTTTGGGGCGAATCTTCCAAAGGAGCTTGTTCTGAGAAATGGCTTCCACTGCCAAGACATTCAGGGCGCAGTGATAAAGATAGCAACATTCCTGAGTAGAACCGAGAGAGGTTTCTCAAACCATATTTAATATAGAAAAACTTAAACCTGGTTCCAGCGCCAATAGCGGACCCTTGGTTTTTAATGTGTCTTTATTTCAGTCATGTTTCATCCATGTGCTTAAAACTGTTGCGTCAAATATTTTCATTCATGTCACTCCTTGTTATGAATGCTGTGCACTGGTTGAACCCGTAAGGTGCTGTGGATCACAGGGCGGACTGTATTGGACCCCAGCAACTGGACAGAAAGTCAAACGGGTCACGTAGCAAAAGGGTCACTTAGACCAATAAATATTATATCCCAGAGCGTAAGTGGCTTCTTTCTTATCTTTCCCTAAGTGGCTGCAAAACGAGGGCACTTTGAATGCTCTGGTAAAAAAAAGTAATTATAATTATAATTATATTATATATATATATATATTATGAAGAATGAATTTCACAGTTCAGGGTTCATCTGAATACTTTGTCTACACACTATCCCCTACCCGCTGTCGGATGATCCTGGATATTCTCAACCGGTTTCCTATGTGAAATTACTGGAGAGTCGCCTGTCCCCGTCCTGCATGTCTGCGGCTCCCAGAATGTAGCCACAGGACTGTCGGGCGATGATTTTCACGAAACAGAGGATACAATGAAACGGAAATTGGCTAAGGGCAAGGGATCTGGCCAAAACTGATTGCTTTTTGAAAAGGGAACCAGCCAACTTTTTTTTGTAAAATTAGGGATTTAAGCAACAGAAAGCGACATCGCATCCAATAATCTGGCTGTCCACCCCCATCAGATCTGGTCAAATCACAGCACTTCCTAAACTGTGAAGATCCCTACAATGTTGGGCCCTCCAGATGTAAGTTGGTTTGTAAACCCTATTAATTAGTTAGAGCTATCAGTATCGTAAGCCATAGATATTGGAACTCTAAGTTTCAACTTAGCTACCGTACTACCTAGTGGTGTCTAGGGGCCCCACTTTGTACAAATCCCAGTGGTCCCCATCTCTGAAAGCGTCCCAATTTCCCAATCATCCCCCATCCCAATCATCCCCCAGCAGCCCTAGTATTAGCTCGTGACAGCCAAGGTCACGAAACATCAGACATGTCCAGACTGAGAACCCTTCACTTGCCAAAGAAAGGCCTCATGGGAAATGGATAGTTCCAAGAGATGATACAAAAAAACAACCTCCTGGTGTCATCAAACATGACAGGCCACTGGAAAATCTCCAAACCCGAGCTTTATAGCTGGGAAAATCATTGAACTCAATAGTCAATAGCTGGGATTTTCCAGCCAACCACGTTTGACTACCGGAGAGTACGCAGAAGGAATATTTTTTGCTTGTCTTCTTGGGGAGCTTTTGAGACATGTCACTGGTAGGTAGGCTATATCTTCCACTGCAAGTGGGATCAGCAAACTCCATTTATAGCTGGGGGTACAACCACACACTAGACCTTGGGATCCACGAATCACTTTATAAACAATAAACATCAAATTCATTCCATAACCCCCCTGTGTGGTTTGAGTGGGGAAGTTGCAATGAATATCAGAAATTTGGGGCGGATCAGTTGCTAGCCTCTTTGACGCCTCAAAAACATTGCCGCCTTGAGATATCCTGCATTAAACAAAAACTAGCTGGGTAGTCTATGTATGCATGTATGCATGCATGTATGTATGCATGCATGCATGTATCTATTGACCTATCGATCTATCGTTTAATTACTTTGTTGTATATCAGTTTATTTTATCTTATCTATCTTACCTATCCTACCTTATCTATCTTATCCACCATGTCTGTGTTATTTACTTTATCTACCTGTTCTATCTTATCTGCATTAATTATTTTATCGATCTTATCGATCTAATCAATCTATCCATCTTGTCTATCTTATCTATCTAATCCATCTTATCGGTCTTCTCCATCGTTGACAGACATGCTATCTCCAAGTGCTTGGCGAACAGCCTGATCAGAAATGGCGTCTACAAATGGTTGCACCAAGGGAGCTGGCACGCCCTGGGGTCGAGCAGCTTCCCACATGGATTTGATCCCACACGAGACCGCGTCAGACACGGAACAACCCATTTTCGTGCTGACTGAAACTTCACACTTGATCCAACATCTAAGATGTAATTCCTCTGCCAGATTTCCTCCTTGCCGTAAATTGTGTGCATGACCGCCGTACAACAAGTGACCTGGCGCAATTCTTCGCCTGGAGAGCTGACAAGCTGAGGATGGCCAGAGACACAGGTCATTCGAGGTCAGATCCAGGGTACAACCTCCAGAATCCTGCGCGTACAGGTGTCGGTTCAATACTTTTTTCTCCAAATCGTTTTTAATCATCCTATCTATCTTATCTATCTGATCTATCTTTTCTGTCTTAATCTGTTGTTTCTGTCTTATCTACCTTACCTATTCATCTTATCTATCTTACCTATCTTACCTATCTTATGTATCTTACCTATCTTATCTTATCTATATTCTCTATCTTGTCTATCATATTTATGTTATCTACTTTTTTCTACCTTATCTACATTATTGATCTTATCGATCTTTTCTATCTAATCCATCTTATCTATCTTATCAATTTTATATACAGTATCTTATTTGTCTTATCCAATCTATCCAATCTATCTAATCTATCTAATCTATCTAATCTAATCTATCTAAAATCTATCTAATTTGTCCAATCTTATCTATCTATCTAATCTGTTTAATCTAATCTAACTATCTAATCGATCTGATCTAATCAAATCTAACCTAAAGTAATCTAACTATCTATCTGCTTAGATCTATGTGTATATATATGTTAGGTTATTCATGTCCCGCTTCTGGGAACACATTTAAGACCATTTAGCTACCCTTACCCTCCATATACTGTTGGTAAAACTTTCCGTCAGCAGTTGATTTTCCCAAAAACGTGCCCCATGTCTATTTGATTGATACAACCGTTGTTCTTGCTGATTGACCCTCCAAAATTCAACATGGAACCCAACAAGGTCCACATCCAAAAGTAAAAACGTGGAACTGCGATTTTCAGAACCACCTTTTTTCAGATTCCATGTAAATTCACAGGGTATAAATCCCCAAGCCCTTGTGTGTTCAGCCCTCATTACATTGATGGATTTTTCACATCTCCCGTTCCAAGTCCATCACCTGAATGGGACATTTCGAATCCACCTGCTTCAGAAAACAGTCGCGACCTGACAGGGATCGCCTGTGAACATGGCGATAGTGAAAAATAGAATGGGTTGTACACCTGGGTCTTCGATTAGTATCTGCTCGCAGTGTTTCTTGGATTTTTGTTCATTCTGCCTTTTTTAGATTTTAATGCTCCTTGAACCCAACACACCCATTTGAATTTGTATAATGTTGGCTTCAAAACGCACAAAGTAAAAAATGCCAAGAGTGGTACACAAACGCTCCTTTGGAGAAAAAACAAAAAGTCTCCCAAATCAGCATTTATTTGTGTTTTTTCGAGGACGCAAATATAAATAAATAAATAGTATACTGCTAGTAAATATGATAGGTAATGTATGGTGTGTCTACGCATTGGGGCTTTTCCACCCATTCTATGGATATGTTAACAGGAAACTCATTATAAACCATCACACGCAGATACATTACTATATTTTCGGACAAACCCATTCAGTTTAATTCAACTACAAGCATAAGCATATATTGTGTTAAACATGGTTGAATCAATATCCATTACGCTGTATATTCAGGTTATTTGATCCATGTCAGTTGCAGACGATGTGGGGCAGATTTGTTTCCAGTCCAGAAATCAGGAGAAGATCCGCGCCATAAGTCAAGAATGCAGCAGAGAAGAAATAAGTTTGAATCTGATCTTGTCATCTGGATCACGGCACCTACCTCCTGGTGTATGCTGTCCATGGCTTAGGGGTTCAATATCTTGAAAGAATGCTTTGGCGCTTCTTCAGGTTGGCCGCGTTCGTAGGGCACTGCACCGGTCCTCGTGCACAACGCACAAGGCACGACCCCGATACTCCAAAGGTCTGTCTGGAAGCTATGCAAAGATCCCGGGCTCGGGAAGCATCAGCCTGAAAAGCTCTGCTCAATGAAAAAGGCTGCAAAGGCCTATTTCCCTGAAACGAACGGGGTTTGTTGCCTGACATTTACTCGGCTGCGAAAAGGGTTGTCTGTTTGGTCCAATCTTCTGACTCCTCTTCAAAGTATGAGCGAAATGTCATTCCATTAATTGTACCAGCTCGTTAAGAATGGGATTCCGATTCATGGATAATGGATGACAATGGAACAATTTCTAGTCTACAAAGGGCAAGTTTGCACTGCGCGACCAGAATCATCAACGAAGCGTCATTTATCAATTATAGTCCCATCTGTTTGATGGTTTGATGGTAGACCCCATATTTGGTGCTTACTTGTCCCTAGAATCATCAACCTCACCAGTGGGGCTGTAGCAGCCACTGCCACCAAGCTGCAAGCACGATGTCGAAAAGGACAGCGAAAGCCTTTGCACTTCCTCAGGTCGTGCTTGGGAGTTTCCGCGCCGGAGGTTTCAGAGATCATTCAAGGGTTGGCCTCAAAATGGGAATGTGATAAATTTATTTAATAAATAATAAGTAAACACACAAATACATAAATACATATATATATACATAAATACATATATATATATTTATCGAAATTGCATTGGAATATATGAACCATATGATATGATATATGATATGATATGATGTGATAATATATGATATGTGGGTTTGCGTCTTGACTCCAACATGGAATACATATGTGCCACTGTATAACCTCAACTGATGGCCATTTTTGGTGCTGATGTTTTTTCGGCCACTGGAGTTGGGGTATCCTACGATACGTGGGGCCTAAATAACAAAGTTGCTTTTAAAATCCAATAAAACATGATTGCGATATTATTGGATTATAAACATATAATATTTATAGTCCAATAATCCAATACCATCCAATAACTATAATTATTGAGGTTTAAACACCAACAAACAGAACTGGGGGGGCACATACTCACAATGTCCCCCGAAGATAGGTACTGTAAGTTGAATTCTGAATGCAATGCCTGTTGAATGAATAGGGTGGATGTGGGGGCACCACTTTCTATGGGATCGTTAGGCTCTGAAAGTTGAGAACTTACCCAGAAGTATCCCAGGTTCCAGATTGCTGGCGATATTATATTTGTATATATATATATATTATAAATCCAAATCATATGCATATAACATATTGCAAGTCCTAAGAGAGATCACCATTTCTGTGAACTACAGTAAATCACGCGAGTCTTGCCCGTTTGAGCAGTGATCAAAACTCCATGCCATCCCTTTACACTGGTTGGTTAAAAGGATTTCCCATGATGGAGTGTGACAATCTCCTATATATCGGATAGTATAGCCACTTGTAATCAAGAATCAATCATCATTTATGACTTGTATCAGCATATGTTTGCTGGTTAAACCCCACATTTTGTGATAACATCTCATCACATTTCCCAACCATCATCAACCAACCAGGGCTTTTGAACAGCTTTGAACTACCGCGGTCATTTTCAACGAGCTTCTGGGAGACCTTGCAAATGCTGCAGGTCCAGTTGCTGGTGCAGGGATCCTGGCGGGGTCAGAGATACCAGTATTATGCCGATTTATGCCGTATCAACTGATCACGCACACGAAATCTTCCTGGAACAATATCATCCCATTGCAAAAGAATAGACAGTGGACAGGTGCATTAAAAAATCACGATTCCACTGTCCCGATGAATCCCTCTTTTCATAGGCAAAATCAATAGATCCACTACATTTCAAAGGGATTCATGTGGTAAAGGAAATGCCATGTTTACCATCCCCAACATCACCATTTCCTGGGTGGGATTCCAACCATCCCCAGTCATGGTAGCTTTATGGCAGCCAGGGTGTCCCACAATTCGGTCAAGTAACGAACCCAAAAAATCTGTAGGGACCCTTCTGGTGGTCACTCGCAACGAGGCTCCAGGAGAAGTCAAGTAGTTTGTTAGCAAGATAGAACCCAGTCGAATGGTGATTCAATGATGCTAAATGGCACAAACATGGATCAAGTCCATTGGTAATCATTGGCATATTTCCAGACATGGGTATGTAAAGTAGTCCAACATATTCCAACCACTAAGATCCACTAAGCTGTTTCTATCCGCATCCCCTGTCACTACGTCGCGGCCAAGGGGCATCTGGAGCGGGGGCTACCCCCAAACCGTCCAGGAAATCTCGCAAGTCCTGGAAGGCACTGGACCGAACAGATCTAAACTTAGAGAGTTCAAACTGCGCAATCCAATGATATGATATAAAAATAAGAGAAATTATAAGTGGTCCCCAATAATATCTAATTTTTGTGGACCTCTGATATCCAATGATATTTTTTTACAGTCTTTAGGGCCCCACAAAAAGAGATAAATCATGATAAATCATTCTCCAGAAAAAATCATCGATGATATTTTGGGCTAACTATAAATGATTAAATCAAGCAACCTGGAGATTGTAGCCACACAAGACTGAGTATGTCAGGAGGTAGAGTCAAACATTTGATTTCTCCTGTCATCAAGAGGTTTTGCACCCCTAGGTTTCGATTAATTGGCTTCTCCTTTCGCATGGTGTTTCGCATGGTTTCTGGCATCTAAAACTCATTGATTTCCAAAGGAAAACCGATTTATGATCATGTTTTCATTGGAAAATCATTTCACCAAGAAACATTGATGATTTCACCAAGAAACATTGATGATTTCACCATGGTTTCTGGCATCTAAATCTTCTTGGTGAAATCATCAGTTTCATTGGTTCTAACCCTGTCCCGTCGGTCCTCAACTGAAGCTCCGTCGCTTCCACCAGGATCTTCTAAGCGCTCCTGGTAGGTTTGAAATTGGTGGATGGCAGATGGCAGATACACAATAAAAAACACTTTGGGTTAAACACATACTGTATAATCCTGAAACTAGATATCTTAAAATCATGTTGTCTTACGGCTACATCATCTTGTGATTTTTCATCTTTTCTTCGCTGGTTTCGACCCAACAAGTAGGGATCATCGTTGTGGGGTCCCCAGTTCGCAAGTTTCTCCCAAAGGACCGGCTCGGTCTGGGGATAGCTGCTCTGGCTGGCAACATTCCCCTTTTTGGTTCGCACAACCACGTTAAATTCCTCGAATTTGCTGGCTACATCACATTTTTTATGTTTTCTCATGCTCAGATCTGGTTCCAAAGGAAAACTTGCCCAAATTCAAGTTCCAACCTTTGAATCCATTTTCCACCTTTTTATGAATGGGAGAACATTCTGATTAGCTATTGGTAGCTAACACTGGGTCTGTCATGGCAAATCCAATGATTAAAAACCTCGTATATTTCCCGATTTGTTCAAGGCCGTTTCACTGGAAGTTTCCTATGGAACCAGCCCAATCCAAGTGACTCATCAGTTCAATGGTCATTTCAGGATCCTAAATTGGAGGTACTGTACCATATAAGGCCATATATATACTAGGTACCTCCAATCTAGGATCCTGAAATGGCCATTGATCAGTCCTGAAAAACCATCAGCTGCTGCTTGGCGATCAACTTCTGCCTCTGGGCGGCCAACAGCCGTCCTTTGAGGCGCTCTTTGAGCGCCTGCTGCTGCTGGGCGCCTCGGCAAAGGCAAAGGAACAGGTGGAACAGGTTTCATGGGATATCACTGCCGAATCAATGGGTGTATATCATATACACATATATAATATGTATATTATATATATATAAATATGTATATTATATATATAAATAGCCATAGATAGCCCATTTATATGGAATTGTCTGTCTTTTCCCATGGTTTTCCACTTTTTAAATCGCTAGGACCGGCGCCGTTCAAACGACCCGAGGCACGCATGTTGCTGCGCAAGGAAGCGATGGCTCGGCTGCAGAGATAGGCGCAGGAACCAGGGCTGGAAGGTGCAGCCTGCAGAGGATTAGCATATGCATGTTGTATACAAGTTATATGGTTATACAATAGTTATAGATATATAGTTATATATACATAGTTATATATAGTTATATAGTTATATAGTTATATAGTTGTATATGTTATATAGTTACATATATAAATGCAAATGTAAATGTATATCCAAAATTAAGTGCAAATAGGAGATCATAAGAGATTATTAACATGTTATACATCATGTTGTGTATGGATTGTACATGTAGTTGCAAGAAATAATGCATATAGAGATATTTAACATACGTAGCTACACACATTATGTATGTATATCTGAACATGGCTAGGCAATTAGACATAATTTGTACCTTATTGAAAAAAAAACAAGACCAGTCCAAGGTGCCACAGCTACCGTCGTCGCCACAGTGCCGTTTGCCCGTTGGGTCCAGCGCTTGGTGCAGCGGGAGCAGGGACGGCCTGCGAAAAGCTGGGATTTTGCCAATGAAAATGGGGACTCAACATGATTCAACCATGGCTAAATGGAAAATCCCTTATTTAATGAAGGTTTAAAGCTGGGAAATATGGGACAATCATCGAACTGAATGGAGGTTTAAATGGACACATCATCTATAAACCATGGGACCATGGGATATAATATGATATCATGGCTAAATGATGATGTCAAATGGTGATTTTAGGTGGCTTTAGCCAATTTCAGCAAGTGAATATTTAAGCGGGACACATGTTTTTGGATGGTAATTCAACAAAATGTGATGGATACACAGTGGATACCCTCCATTGATCTAGACGAACAGATTGCTACCAATACAACAATGTCCGACCCCACAATTGGGGCTAAGGTTTTGCTGAAGTTTTTGTTGAGATAACCATGTCAAATGTGCTAAACTCGACAGACTTGGTTTACAAGGGCATGCTCTATACCTTTGGAAACCGACTTGGTTTACAAAGTTGATTGGCGACTGAAAAGCAACCGATGGAAACCGGTTGATCCTGAGCTCTCACAATCTCGAAATAAAGCTGAAGTGTTGTCACGAAGGAGTTTCACTTATGAGCAGCACAAGCAGAATGTGAGCATCACAACAATGAGAGAAAAAGGGGCACGTGTTGCAAATGAGATTGATGAGACAAAAACAAAGAATGAACAAAAAAAGTTGAACAATTTAGTGTGCCAAGATTTCTTTCACAACATGTGATCTTTGTCAATGCACAAAAAGCAATTAAAAAACATCACTGCCATTTAACGTCACTGTTCAGCTGACCGGAACTTTCTGGGCAAGGCAACGTTAGGCAGGCTTATTGGGGGGACCCCGTAAGTAACCAGAACTCTTGGGTGTTCACATTAGTGATCACCATTTCGATGTTGACCCCCCTCAACGTATGGGGGTTCCCTGTCATAAAATGATGTTTCAACTGTTTCAATCTCATGTTTTGGCATAGTTAGAATGATGCACATCTCTATATTTTAGTGCAATATCATCCCTCGCTGGACAAAATTGTCCATGGTAAAAACCTCAATGTTTCATTGTTATCGGTCGAACATTTCATGGTTTCATCCCGAAGTTCTTCATGGATAATTTGAATATTCTCATTTTTTTGATGATTTGGATGGTTCAATCAAACTTCATTCCAACATTTTGCTCCTTTTCCACATCATCAAATCATTGAACTCACAGATCGCTTTGTGATGCTTTTGTTTGACATGTTTTTTCATGTCAAAGTCAACAAACAGGAAAAAAACATCGAACAGTCGACTCATCCGCCTTCGGTACAGCGATCTTGGCCTGGCTCTGGGCTCGATTTTGGAGGATCATTTGGACCCGCCATTGATGGATTAAAACCAAAAACATCCATAATGTCTGTGTCTACATGTATTTGGAAATGGATTATTCCATACTATTTTTACATATATGCTTTCCTACAATGGAAAGCGAACCTGTGGGAATCATCGAGTCACCTGAATCTTTGTCATGTGATCATGAAACAATGTGTATGGACATGGAACATCTACGCAAATCTAGCCGATGAAATCCACATGCATTCTGCTTCAGTAGCTCAAAAGGTCAGTGTTTGGTCACATTTCGATGTGAATCCCACGATTCATAAGTTGTTCAGAGTCATGGTGAATCCCTTTCAGGCTCTTAAATGTAGTAACTAGTAATTCCTATCGATGAGTTATAAATTAAACTGCATTTGCTAAGGAGAAAACTACCCGCAATGGCAATCTAGCCGGACACAATGGTGGGTTTGTGGATGTCCTGTTCTTGGACATACTTATCGCTGATTTGTGTATTATATTGGCCATCCATGCAACATCCCAATCTCTTTCAGCTAGATCCTGACTCTTCGGTATTTAACATAGCTTCACTAGCTATATATCTGGGCAAATTAAAATAATTCACGAACCTGAAATAAGGCAATTTTGGTCCTTATAATTTGCCCATATATATAATTATATATATATATATGTTAAATTACCAGAGGGTACTTCCCTTTCTTGTTGGTGTACAGCCCTCCTTCTTTTTTGGCGCTGCCGGTTCCTCGAATCATTATTTCCCATTGAAACAAACCACAACGTTATATATTATAATAAAACAACCACTTTAGGAGACAAGTCTAGACTCCAGACCATGTTGTTGGTGATACAATGCAATCATCATCATCATCATCGTCATCATCATCATCACCATCATCATCGTTATCATCATCATCATCATATAAAAATAATATATATATATATATTATATTATATATAAACTATAATATATATATATTAAATAATATATAATATAATAAATATATATTGTAATATATAAAATATAATATAAAATATAAAATTTATAATATATATATATATATGTATATTATATTTTACAATTTATATATATATAAATAAAATTATATATAATATATAATATATAATATAAAATATATAATATATATATGTTAGATATACATCATATAATATAATACAATAAAATAAAATATAATATAATAAAATATAATATAATGTTTTATAAAATAAAATAATAAAATATAATATAATGTAATATAATATAATAAAATATAATACAATATATTACATATATAATACAAAATTATATATAATATACACGAATAGTACCCATTACATCTGATCACATCTCATCAAATATCCCCATGCTCTCAATCTGGTGGCAGGGTACCCATCGGTTGATCCATGTCTAGTAAGTGGTTGATAACCCACACATTATTCGGGCATACCCTCCGGCAATGAAACATGGGTAGCTGGAGAATCCCCGAAGTAAATATTATAAACGATCATTTGAATGGGACATTCGTGGAACTAAAACGGTGATCGTCCAGCCATGTTTGATTACCAGAAAACAGATCCATATGATTTAACATGCCCATTCCTAGTTATATCTAGCTATGCTTGATTTCAGATCCCAATTCAAATTATCCTAGGAATCTCCTACTATTGGTGGTGATATCCCCATCTGCCCATCTGCTGCGGGGCCCCGCCTCTTCCACCAAGCGCATGGTGGGCACTCGCGGCACCTCCACAGCCACCCCGTTAACCGAATTTGTCGCCCCGTTCACCTGAGCCCAGGGGGTTCAGTATGTGATGAACACACTAATCACCATCATTTCATGGTGATTTCATATGATTTGATTAATGGGATTTAACATGATTTAACCAGTTTTAACCAACAAACATGGTGAATGGAATTGGATGTAAAACCCCTAAAACGGCACAATGCCCCAACGGGTAAACATTCAATCCAAGATCTGCGAAACCCATGGGAACACCCGGGAACGGAACATGAGATCTACCAATGCGCCGTCCATCGAACTGTTTACAGGGTATCAAACATTGACCAATTATTATGCCCCAGTTCGTTGTCTAAGTTGGTGAGCATAACTTGCTTAACTAGCTAGTTTATCGTTATCATAACTATAGTTATTAATAATTGGGATTAGCACCAATCAGAATCATGCCTAATTTTTGCTGTGGAAAAACCCTCGATTGGGCTGGTTCATGCTTCATATGATGCTTGTTGGTTCTTACTACCATACCGAGTGAAACCCCACCGTGCGGTGCGCCTGAGTTCGCCAGTAACTAGTGTGATAACCCCCCCAAGAAAACTCAGATGCTCAAGATTACGTAGGTCCCATCCCCACACTTAACAACTAAGAAACATCTAAGACCGAAGAAGTGGGTCATCTGTCGTCCAAAAATCGGTTTCCAACAAAACTCATGGCTTTCCATCATGTTTGTCCAATCCATGGGTCTGAAAATATGGTACTGTACCTCTAAATCAATTGGTTAATCATCAGTTTCCCTCTTTACAAGACCATTTGGGGGGCAACATTTCCAAACAAACCCCTATATCGGTGCTAACCACCCAGTTTTCACTGGACAAAACCATCTCTGGTTCAGGGGTGCCCGCTCGTCGTCACAATCGTAAACCCAGGTTCACAGTGACCATCATGGACCCTCAGCGAAATCATCTTCCCATGAGTAATTGTCCACTGTTACCATTGAGCAATGTGGGAAACCCAACCTACTATTTGGGGATGGTTTATACTACCACACATGTATGGTGATTTTGGTGATGCTTTATTTACTATTGGGTTTACAACATTAGGAGTTATATATAGTTATATACCCACTACTTGAACCCATATTCTCAAACTGAAAAACAAGCTGATCAACAATTACTCGCCCATCTTCAACCACTATTAATAACTAAATGTAACAACTATTCTGATATATGAACATAACTATTATGAACATTTCAACATTTCATGTTTGCATAACTATGATATACTATGATCTATGATTAACCATTACATGACTAGTATTATCACATCTTAACAGTATATTAACCACTATCAATCATGACCCGGGCCCCAGGATGACTTCCGCCGTCGGGGCACCTTTTTCAAATCCTTCACGGCCGGGCCCAGCGTCACCGTGGTCTTAGCGCCGGTCATCAGAGTCACGCGTTCCTGGCGATGCCGAACTGGATGGGGGTTCGAATCAGTTCGAATTCCATAGATTTATGAGAGAAAAATGGGGATTGCGGGATTGCATGTTTCATGTCATTTTTAAAATTAGCAATGATGATGTTATGATGCTAAAAAATCCCAACTAATGGGGACTTCATGGGATTCTATGGTGATTTATGTGAACATGTAGCCAACAAACATCGGATATATTTACCCTCTGGTAATTGGACAGTTAAAACAATGCTATGGAAAATGCCGCATGTCTAGATGATTTCCGTATTAAACATGGCGATTGTCCAATGCCATGTAAAATTTCCAAGAGTAATGGTTATGCAACCAAGATTAACCAACCATGCTCGTGTAGATCCTGTAGTGGAGATACAAAGGGATAGTGGAATACATAAGCAGTATATATAATGGAAAACAGTATCATAATATCAACCTCGTTTGACTGTTAATCGGATATATCATGCGATGGGGATATAATCGGATTTCAATCGCCATCAATATTGGAAGATTGAAGATATACTGTGGCTTGAACAGCACAGTTGAATGCAGCTGGCCACATGTTTTGTCCAGCAATTGGGGATTTAACCATCCAAAATGGGGATGAAACAAACCATGTTGCGATGATATATTAAGAACAATATCCGAGGCTGTGGCATGCCGACCAAATGTGGCCGTCAAATGATTAATAGGGACAATGATGCTCAATCAGTGAATTTAGGGTCACCCAATTTTCAACCAATCCCATTTTGTGCGAACTTAGCATTTAACATAGAATGGTTTAGAACACCTAACACAAGGTGTCCTTCAAAGTTTTCCTTTAACAAGTCAAATCACCACGAATTGTGGTAATAATATCAGGCTTTAAAAATAAATAATAAACCATATGGGTCCACAAAATGAAGCGAATCATGATGCGTCACATTCACCTTTAAAACTTCTGTTTCAGGAAGCATCAGCAGAGATCCACATGTAAGCATTCGAGAAAACATATGTATAGGTTTCCAGTGGTTTCCATAGTTCCATTAAATATTATATATGTGTATATATATATGTATTACATATGAGACCTACAAACAACTTATACTGAAACTGAACACAAACATGACACATTTGTATCACAATGGCATCTGGATATGACGACAACATCTTTGCCTCCTGACGGGACTCTTGCAACGATCGCGGGAAAACAACGATCGGTAGCTCGCAGAAGGAAATGGTTGCAACAGATTTAGAGCACCCAATGGATTTGTTTGAACAGTTTCACCACAAGAAAGAATGATTTAATCATATTTATATAATTTATTATATAATCTGTAAAAGGTATTATTACATGAGATTGCAGCACATCCGGCGAACGAAACGTTCACATGGTGTATTCTTACAGACATGATGGTCGTCATGGTAAACACAATCAGAGGCTACCATCCCAATGATCAAATCCACCGGTGGTGCAGAAACACAATCTTTCAGCATGAAGTCTGTCTGTCTGTCTGTCTGTCTAGCCATCTATCTATCTATCTCATCTGCCCAGCTGGCCTCGCTCTCTCTCTGATGAATTCACACAAAAAACAAAAAAAACCTCTAATATACTAAACACACCATAAAATGCTGGTGTTTAGTATTGCATGGGTCGATAATTGATGGGATTTATAGTACATTGTACCATACTAGATGAGATATTTGGAGGATCAGTTCACTTAGTAAGTGGTTAGTAATACCCTGGTTAGTAAGTGCCCGATTCGTAGCTTATCCCATCTATGAATGGATAATTATAACTATGGTCCATGGTTCTTAAGGACTATCTAACTGGGATGATTCTCCAAGTACTAATAGCCGATCATCATACGTATCATGCTATTGTTAACCAATAAATAATCCAAATTCCTTCTATGGTTATATCCAGCAATTATTAACCACAAAAAATCCTATGGTTGGTAACCACCTATGGCTGATCCTCCATGTTTCTATCCCCATCCATAGGTTTTCCCCGGCCAAAAAACGCCGCACCCCGTGTGGCAGCACGAAGGTGGTCCAATGCTGCGGCACCGAAGCTGGCAACTGGCGCCATGGGGAAATCCATGGAGGGAACCGTGGAAAAATCCATGGGGATTTCATGGAGTTTTATTCTGACTTTTATGGTGATTAGTTGTGGCTTTAATGGTGATTTCATGATATGTCATGGGATTTTTTGGTGATTAATTGAGTTTTCTTGCTGATTTTATGGTGATTCATTGCGATTTAATGCTGATTTCATGATGTCATGGGATTTTACGGTGATGAGCGGGGATGTACTGTGGGATATCTACTGGCAATTGAACTATTGGACATGGTCCATTTAGTTCGATTGTTGATGATTTTTCACGGTTCTGCCCAGAAATCGGCTACCCCAAATCCACTTGTAAATCCATCATTTTACACCATGTTCCTTTGTAAAATGCAATCTCTTGGTGGTATACCAAATGTTTACGCACAGGCAAATACATATATATATATATTGTTTGCTATATATTCAAGATTACCTGCATATCCCGCAAAATATCACTATATTATTTTAGTTGGTCAGATCCATTTTTTCCTGCGGGTTAAATCAATCTCTCTCTCTCTTTTGATGGGCGAACAACATTAAACTACTACCCATCTCTAAGATTTCTTCAATATGTTGTGGTCGACCTAGGTTCCCCAGATATTAACAACATATTATCCCGCTGAAATCTCCAATTCTTAAGTCCCATTTTCTGCGAGGTAAACGGTGTAACTAAGATTGAGGGGTGTACCCTCTGATCCCTCTGGAAATCTAGCGCATGGAAAACAACTAAACCAAAATGTTTGGTGGATAAACTCTAATGGAACTAGTAAAATAAAGCAAAATCACCTGAAGTGCAATGTGAACCTCCAGTTGTAAGTTGGTTCACCAACACCAGCAACTATACGGTAACTACATCTAAATATACAGATTTGTCAATATACGAACCGGTATTTTGGACTACAAGTACCACCAGGAAGGTTTTCCTTGGCCCGCCCAGCCATTTAAACGTACGGAATCAATTTATTTAATTACATACATTTTAAGATATGGATGGAGCTGGTGTTTCATATTACCTCCTGGGCCTTGTGGTCTAGCCCGCCCTCCACATATTTAAATGTGGTTGCCGTAGTTACAGCTGAAAAAATATACAGTAAGTATCACAGACCATAGTGAAAGTGGAGCTTTGTTCACCGAAATAAATCAAGTTTGTTTAATCCCCAGAAAATCCCCATATTGCTTTATCTTATCCCCAAAAATTGCTCTAATCACAATTTTCCACTTGCTTGGGGCCCACAGGTGCCACGCCTCGCCCGTCTCGCGTCGCACCACACGGGTGCCACCGCCCGACCAGGCGTCGGCGATGCAAAGACCTGGGGACCAAAGAATGTTCCAAGGGTGGGACAACCGAGATTTATATACAAAACTGTACATCTATATCTATGAAAAATATGGACTTGGTGAATTCTCTGGTTTTCATCTCTAAATCCCGAACGAACCAACCCATGGTTAATATTGGTTAATCATGGCTCTTTGGTTGATCATGGCTCTTTTTCTCCATGATATTTGTTGGATACCCATTGGGATTGGTTATATAATGTTATACATACTATGTGTATATATACTATATATATACTATATACATATATACTATATATATATATACTATATATATATACTATATATATATATATTCATTATTCTGGGGATTCAACCAACCACCCAGGGTCACCCAGGTCGCTGACTGTTTCGGTTTAGTACGACGCCTGTCAACTACCAATATTAATTTGTTCACCATCGGGAGGTCACCTTCGGAAGGGGATCGCTGGCACTGCTCGTTCTTGCGTTTGACGCCCCTCATTGCGAGATCTCCCACAGAGCTGCGCTACAGCTTCATAGCCATCCCCCTCTTCACCAAGAGCTGCTTGAAGTTCTCAGAACCAAGCTCCCTTGCGAGCCCATCCTCAGATGTGAACGACAATCTTTTGATGAAACGATTACTTTACTTTCGAACCCCTGGGCTGCCCGGGGAACTTCAGAGACCCCGTTCGAACACTGTGCATTTGGCTGGTGGGATTTCAGGGGCCACACTATGTGGCTTCAATTCACAGGCCGGGCGTGGTTGAATCCCGATGTTAGACATTGCTTGTCAATTTAGATAGCCAAAAATGAGCAGCGTTCAAAACCCGAAATGTCACCCCTTTAATTGTAGTGGTGGGTGAGGATAACCGGAAAGCAATCATCTACAAACGGATGCTTGTACTGAGTAGCCAGTTTGTAAAAATGATGACACATAATTAATGCACATGTATATACATCATACATCATCATAATGTCTGAGAATGAGGCATACCCCTCATCTACCCCATCTTCATGGCCAGTTAAACTATACAAACATCATGATTAAAAACATCAAATGTTGGTTTTCCAACCAAGTATGTATGGAACATATTCCATTTCTTTTGGAATCGGATCTACAGGGTGGTGCCCCATAGTTAGCTAAGTTGGTTTATAAGTCCAATAACTATGGTTTATAGGTGATATATCTGTAGTTACTGGGATTATAACCCATTTATAACTGGGGGGGGGGCACCACCTTGTAACAATCCCCTGGCCTTGAGGCAAAGAGATCACCAAGAACTGCAACCTGGCACAACGTCTTCGACTCGTCCGGGTGATTTCCATGGCGATTGTCAACATCACAGGAGTAAAAATCCATGCCAAATCCCTAATAATGTTGGTGTATATATATATATATATCTTAATGGACAGAACGAACGGGTAAAATATGGAAACATCTTTCTTTATAAATTGATGACCATCCCTTATCCAAGTTTTGACCCTAGGCAGACATGATATGACCCCAGAATAAACATCTTGACTTTTCTACTCATGTTTAAACAAATGCCAAAACAAAATGCCAAATGTTAAAAGTAGCAAATTCACCCGATAAATATTCCAGATCCCTACAATTTGGCTTATAAACCCCGTTACTATAGCCACACATATAATAAACCCAATCGTGAAATTGGGTTGATGTTCGAGAACATAGCTATCATACATCAACTATAAGTCCCAATGAAGTCCCAACTTTCTTGGTTAAATCACAATGTTTGTTGGTTAAACCCCATTAACTCTCAACTTTTCTTCTTTCAATCACAATTTGTGTTAGTTAAATCAGTTAAATCACCAGTCTCATCCCTATTCTCATGGCCAATCTTAGATACCATGCGGAAAAAAAATCTTAGCTGGTGAGTAGATAAGGTGAACGTTGATAATCCCATCCAAGATTGGCCTAGTTGCTTAGTGCTTAACCCAGATCCCTAGCTGCACGTGGAAGTTCTTCCCCGTTGCTTTTCGTTGCGTACGCCTCGAGGTGGTCGCATCCCCGGTGGTTTGCACATCGCACTCCGCCGCGCGGCCCACAGTAAAGACCTGCAGCGGAAAGTGGAAAAAACCTGGAGGGGAAGACCTGTGGAGGGCCATGGCTATTAGTTGTAATTGATTAAAAGATGGGATCATATATTCTATAACTGTCTTGGTAATGCAGTCTGAAAAGATTCTACATGACATGATATATAAATGGGATTATATATGATAATGATGAGTGATAAATGGGATTATGTATTCTATAAATGGTGATTTCTATAGTGATTAATTTATTAGCTATAACTGGTGAGTTCTATGGGATTATATCTTCTATAACTAGGGTTTTCTTAGTGCTTCTGGTAAACCAAAGAATTCTACATAATTTATGGTGAACATCATCTGATTTGAACATTGATGGCTGGTTGGTGGTTTCAACCTACCCCTCTGAAAAATATGAGTTCGTCAGTTGGGATGATGACATTCCCAATATGATGGGAAAAAATAAAACATGTTCCAAACCACCACTTTCTCACTTTCTTGTGCGCGCAACGTCTCAACAATGTTACCCGTCTTGGGTAAAACTAGCGAAGGCTGGTGATCAAAGTTCGTTCAAGCCCATCCAGTGAAAAAATGTAAGGCAGAGAATCCACAGCTTTAGATTGTCTCCTAAACGCAAATGGAATGCAACTGTAAAGCCACTTATCAACGGCAATGAGACGATGTTCAGGCCAAGGGACAGCAAACAGTCCCGTATGCATACGGACCATGTTGGAGTGGGGGAGTCCCACGGCAAATTGGATTTCCTGGCCCATGTGCCTCAAACATTCTTTAAGGATTTTGATAAACCATCTCACTCTCAGCTTGTAAGAGAACCCTTTCAAAGTGACATAGGGCACAATCGCACCATTTTTCCACCCTTGCAAGTTCACCGGACCTGGATTTCCGGTCGCCGCCATGAAATCGGCGTACAGCTGAATATGGCTCACCCACTTGACGGCTTCACAACTGGTGTATAAGACATCCCAAAACCAGCTCAAAACCAACCTGACAGTATCCTCCCCATACCACTTGATAGCTTGAGCCGGCAAAGACAATGTGCTGAGACCCTTCCAAACTGGGACAGGTAACGAAACATCCTGCACAGGAGGTTCATCACAAAAGCCATCGTCATGATGTTGGGCCTGCACAACTGCTCTGCTAATGTTCAAAAGGACGCCCCTGGTGATTTGGTTAACCCATTCAACGTGAGCCACTGCACCCCAATGTCTCGAGACAAGATCCCAGAATTCCCTGGGGCGCCGCAAATTCGCCGCCACGGCTTCACGGTCCGCAATCTTGTTATGACAAAACATCCACGCTTCCTTCTGATCCCTGGCAGCAGAAACATGTTGGTGAGCGGCAACTTTCTGGACCTGAATAGAATGACTACAATCTTGAACCATGGCAGAGATACGATCCCACAGATCAGCATGTGCACTGCTAGATTTGACCCTAGAGCCATGGAGTACACGTCTCAGCCTACGGAAAACTGCATTGCAATCAGTCCAAATGGTGACATCAACCTGACAGACCAGGGCAAACTCAATTGCTCGCATGACCGCAAACAGTTCTGCTCGACTCGCACTTTGCAGTAACCCTGGCAACGGGCCACTCTCAATAATATGAGAATCAAGCAGGCAAGCATCCTCTGGTGCAGCCAGGACAACTGCCCACGCTGCAAAACGAAAATGGGGCTGCGATTGGTAAAAGCAGCTACCATCCGTAAAAAGGTTGATACACGTACCAACTGCAAACTTGCATGGAGTCACTGGTCGCGGCAAATTTGAGAAATATGCACACCATTCATACATGGTCGACGGCATGATATCCCACCCAAAGCAGGAAGCAGCCTCAGGAAGGTCACGGATTTCACTCAAGGTTTCACCCGACACATGTTCTCTGGCCCATGCAAAATGTTCACACTGCCAAAAACGATGGTACCTACTATCACTACAATGACAGAAGGGGCACATGTCATCATTTGATTCTTGGCTGTACTTTTTTCCATCTTGCGTGATGTGAGTACCGTTGAGCAATTTCCGGTACAAGGCTTGGTCACTCGGGTTTTGAGCTTGTAGCCATGCCCTTGTTGATTGCGGCCACACAAATTCAAGGCCTCCAATTGCATCTCGGTGAGCGGTGGCACTGACAACAATCTTGAGCCATTGCCATTCAAGTCTCCAGAAAAGTTCTGTGCATGAAATCGCAAATAAGGAAAACGACCCAAAAGCATCCACAATGTGACCATCATGATTCACGTGCCATCCCAAAAACTGGATTCGATGCAGTAAAGTGGAGGTAATGCTGTTTTGGGCAGGAATCACTCCATGGGCCATTGTAGCAAGAACCTCCTGAACAACATCAACCCTTCCACAATCCTTCACAAATCGGAGAGTTTGTTGGATGCACCAATAGTGGGGATCAGCCTGTGGTGTTTCAATCAACCCCAGGTGCAAATGGGAATTGCTTCCAGCATGGTCTTCGCCAAGTCCTTTCATGGCACCTGCACGTAAGGATTGAAAAGTCTGCAGGCTAATGGTGGTGGCCGCGATTGCATGTAAGCCCTTTGGCCAAGCTGCACACTTTAACGCCCGAACTTTGAAGCGATATCTGCACGTGGACAGTCTCAGGCGTTGCCAGAGTGGCTGCAGTGAGTTGATTCGCTCAATCTGAACACTGTTCGAGTGTTTCTTGGTGACCTGAAGGTGTGCTCCCAAATTCTTACAGGAAGACGACAAAGTAAACCCTTGTGCCCGCAGAATCGTGCGACTTTCCGACTGAACGGCCCAAACATGTGTTTTCTTCTTATCCAACATCAAATCCAAAGCATCAACCAAGGTGTCCAAGGTTTGGATCGCATGACCAACACTCGCAGGATCACATACCAACAATTGCCAGTCATCAACATAGGTGATTGGCTGCGCAAGTGGCATAAAATGCTGAAACCATTCATGAAAGACAAAATCAATGGCCAACATAGCGACACATGACAAGGCGTCACCTTCCGGGAACCCACAATTGGAAAGGACAGCAGGGCTAAGGGTCTGCCTAATTTGAAATCGCCTTTGCATTTGGCTCAGAGCGCCGGCCCATCCAATCAAAACCTGCAGTGGGACACCCAAGATAGCACAAGCTTCAATTGCAACAACCCGTGGCAACATGTTAAATGCTTTTTGGAGGTCAGCCAAAATACCACAAAGCCCAATGGAATGAAACTGAGCATTCTCAATCGTCCATAGCACTTGCGACCAAACCTGGCCTGCAAAGCATTGTGGTCGAGAGCCAAATAATCCCACAGGCAAATGCGGATCCAAAGCAAGCAAAATCTTCTTGGAATGAAAGGAGCCCCAACAGCGATAAAGAAGGCTAAACACAGTGATAGGACGAAAATCCATTGGATGCCTAGGATGCTCACACTTGGCAAGGCTGGTTACTCGTCCTGCTGTCACCTGCATAGGCCATTCACCCGTTCTTTCCGCCCACGCAAACATGTCACAGAAGTTCTGCAAAGCCGGCATGGGCAACGCTTTCAGATCAGCAAGGGAAACCCCATCCAAACCATGAGATGTTGCCGACTTCTTCTGCAAGATGACCTCTCGAAGATTGGCTGGGGTCATCTGGGGCCATTGCATTGGGATGAAGGGCAACTTGGCCCGAGCAAAATCCAAAATTGGCTTCCATCTTGAAATTGGTACCTCAGCATGGCGGGTCCATTTGGCAGACCACGCGTGAATGAACGCCTGACACAATTCTTCATCAGTACCCAATCTGGCAAGTTGGGTGATTCTGTCGCCTGGCTGGAACGTTTCAGAGCCATCTACCCACAGGCAGTCATCTTCAGCATGGATAACCTCAACACATTTGTCATTACAGACAACAGGGCATCCAGGCTGGAAATCAAACGACCTATCAAGAACTAAAGCTGCTTCATCAGCACGCACGTCTTGCACCACCGCCTCAATGGGACGCAACAGGAGGTCAACGCCCTTCACTGGGTGGGCACGAATGTCCTGAAAAATCATGTTTGGATTGCTCTCCCTTCTGAGCCGTGCATATGCTCTGGATGACTTCTTCATTTTCCCCTCAAAGTCACGAGCAGCAAGGGCAACAGATTCAAAAATTTTTACCGCAATGGAAGCTTCAGGGGGATAAACCGGAATGCGAACTGGAGCACCATGCACACGGAATTTACTATCGTCCCACCAATCACAAAAGGATGGGGCAAATCCTTTGGCACGAATGATTGATCCCCAGACCGCAAGGGCATGTGGATGACTGGGCTGAAAGCTACTTCCTTTCGCAAAGTGGGCAAAAGACTGAAGTCTTCTCACTTGGCGGATCCACTGGGCATGACGGAAGGAGGCACACAGGAACTGAGGGTTGAAATCCCCTTTGCGACCCTTCTTAACGGGTGCAATTTTGCCCGCAACAACCCCTTTGGTATTGGTGGCACCTGCACGGCCCAGGCAAGCTTTCGGAACCCCAAAAGGCAGTGCTTCAGTAGCGGCAGATTCGATGTGCTTCCAAACTTCAATGTACCTGTCGTCAACCTTAGCACTGGAGTTAGCCCAAACCTGTGGATCAACATTCCATTGCAATGGCCAAGGGAAATCAGCAGGCAAAGGCCAAATTTGGCGCGGAACTACATTGGAGAGTCTGGCAAACTCACCTTGCAAGACTGCGTGGTCCGGCCACACATCGTCCAAGATATGACATCCTTTCATCAGAACCTGGAGTTCAGGGGACAAAAAGCAATAATCCTTCCTCGTTTTACGCTTGCAGGTTTCTTTGGGTTGAATACCCCAGCGTTCCCACGCGACATCTTGGATATCACGAAAGCCAAAACTTTGCAGCAATGCAAAAACAGGCAAACTGTTTGGTGAGCTGTTCCAATCCCCTGCTACGAACCTCGGACCAACCGCCAGGCCACAGACTTGGCTGACAACTGCTTGCAACAGAAGTTCGTTGTGCTGGTTATGCTGTGGGTAAAGATGCCCATCAGGCTCACCGTAGACAACACCTCCTGT